CTCGAGGCGTAGCCGAGAGCAACTCTAGCCTCATGAGTGCTCATGAGTGCTCTCCAAACTTCTCAAGTGCTCAATATCTCGACATACGCACAGATGAAGCATGAACTAATTGTTTTATAACATTATCAAAGCGATCAATGCAGCAGTTAACTTAAATTTTTATTATTGTGGCGCGAGCTCAAGCAGTACGCGTCAATGCGTACGTGACTATAATTATTTTTTTACCTCACAGTTCTGTTTTTGTCTTGAAACTGAGAGAAAGTATACTGAAGTCGCTTAAGATAACATTCAAAAGATTATAAAATCCATATTGAGGTGCCGGAAAACTATTGAATCACCGAAAAATTCTTTTTCAAAGAAATAACTTTGCAAAAAATGATTTGCACACGCCATCGTCCGCACAGCTTCCGCAGATGACAGCAACAACACTCACCTCTTTTCCGTACGATCGGAATTCAAAATTTTCTCTTAAATTTACGTTAGAAAACACATGGTTAACGATTCATCGTGTACTGTTGAGTTATGGATGCACTTGGGAGCACGTCCTGGGAGGATCGCTAAGCTCACAAGAACTCGAGGTATAGTTTATTGACGTCATCAGCGTGCTCAATGGGAATATGAAGCAAGCTCGCGCTATAGAATTTGATTAGGCGAATATTCTTGGTATGTTATAATCACTTTTAGCTAGGGCCTTAAAATGCTCAGTTTTTCTATCATGAAGCCGTCGTTTAGTTTTATTAATTAAAAATTTTTGCAGTCCCAACAACTGGCTTCGTAAATAACTTTAGACTGTCGAGAAGCTTCTTCTTCAAAACAGGTACCCTCAAGGCATAATCTCCTAGCACATTAATGATGTTTTAAACAGAAGCAATAACAAGCAAAACAACCATGTCTCAACTGTTCCTAAGAAGTATACTTCAAAACATCTTAAATTTTGTGTATACAATTTCTACTCTTGTGTTAGCCTTAAAAAAAATTTTTCAAAACACTCAGAACACTCGCCGCATCAAATCTTTCTTTCCATACACGGACCACTTGAATCGTTCTCACCACAAATGCGAAACAGTTTTGCATAAACTTGAACTTTAGTCACAATACTTATATTTCATTTATTATTCATGGCTTACAGAGTAATTACGTGACTGCACGATGCAGTTAATATTGTGTGTTCACTCGACATAATATGACTGCGCGATGCGGTATTTATGTCAGCCCACAACTGACCAGCTCATCACCGAGTTCTCAGTAGCTCAGTTGTTAGAGCATCCGACTAGTGTATAGGCTCCCACGCAGGCGTTTTCAGGGGAGCTCGTTTTTCATCCCCCCTGGGAAGGGACGAAAAACGAGCTCCCTTAAAACGCCTGCGTGGGAGGCTAACTAGTGTACGGACGGTCGTGGGTTCAATTCCCATCTGGAACTAAGAATTTTTTCCTGTGTTCTTCTCTCCACACATATCATTTCATTTATTACTTAAATGTTCGATAAAATAAAAAGGCCTGATGAATGGTGTGGATTCTCAACCATCGCGTTGTGCTTGGCGATATCCAGAAAACTTGTAATTGTTTTTTTTCTTGGAGAAGAAGAAGCTCGTATGCCGAATTTCTTGTCTTTGCGAGCAAGGTTGGAAGACTTGTACTTATAGAATTCTTATAAGAAAATTGCTGTGAGTTGTTTTGAAAAGAAGCGACCTGTATTTTGATTGTTTTTCTACTTTGAAGTGATTTGTGACATTGTTGTTGAAGTTTAATGACAGAAACGCTTGCACAGTGCTATTGAGAAGGCAAAGTAGTTTTTAGCACAATAAAGAAGTGTAAAATATTTTGGAAATTTTTACCATTAGTCGTTTTCTCACAGACAATTGGCGGTTTTTTCCAGCTCAAAGTCTTTCCGTCAGAAACTTCTACAATTCGGACTAAAATTTGTCAAATTTGTCAGAAGGCACCAGTTCTCTAACAGAGTTCTTTTTCGCCCAATTTACGTTCTCTGAGAGTAAAATTTCAGTTCAAAGAAATTTGGACATTTCTCGCTCTTTTTTCCCATCATTGATAGAATTTCTGGAAAGCAAACGATGGAAATCCAAGTTTAAAACACAGCAAACCACTTCATCTTATTTACGTACGGGCTTACGTGTATAGAAATTTTTACATGATGGCTCAATAGGAAAAAGATAGGGTAAGAGCGCGCGCTGTGTTATGAAACGAAATTCTTGAACCTAATTGCTCCTTAGCAAGAGTTTTTTTGTTTCTAAATGGACAATACCGGTACCCAAACTGTCCGATTTGATCTCTCCGACTACCAGCTGCTTGTAATTGGACAGGTCAAATCGGGCGGTTGCGTAGCCAATGAAAGGTGAGTAAAAGATACCAGTAGCCAATGAAATTTAAGCCATTCTAAACCGACAAAAATCAATGAAAAATGCAAAGTTCGGTGGGCTGCCCTGCTACCTCTGGAAAACCATGGTCTGGCAGTGATATATTTTCAGACATTTTTTCCCTTAAAATTTGTCAATTTGTTAGAAACAGCTGATTTAGAAAACTTTCAAACTGCAAGTCAACTTCAAAAATGTTAACTTGAGTTTATTAAAAAATCCTTTTTAGCAAGTATTTTGTCATTGATATTATTAATTGGTAATAGGACTTCGTGTCGCACTGCAATTTAGGGGTAATTGAGCCCGTAATTTAAAATCAGCCTCGCGCTACGCGATCGGACGCTTTGAAATTTATTTATGTTTTTATCCTCTTAGATAGCTTGGGATTTCCTTAAAAACTTAGAAACGTCTCTTAGCTATTTTCTTCATTCCTGACAAACCTTTGTGTTTGACACTTCATCTTCAGTTGATAGCACGAATCTTGTGACTAACAGGAAACTGGACAAAGACTGCCTTTACTTTGGGAGTATGCCCTTCCGCTGCAATGAAAGTAAAGTTGTGAATCAGCCACCACACGAACAGAAACAGCTCAATCAGTTTTGCTAGAGATTCACCAGCGCAAACTGGATAAAAATTACCTTGGCTGGTGACCAGCTTACCTTCTGTGTCAATATAGCGGTGCGGATTAAAGACGGTGGGGTCTTCTCAACATTTTGGATCCAGGTGGACTGACTCTGTAACGTTGTATCGGTGAGGGCAACGTGAGGTACTGCCATGGGGACCATGCTTCCTACCCTGAGCGCTTCTAAGATCGCAGCCTGAACGAGAGGTAGATTGTTACGGTCATTAGCTAAAGAGCGTCTTCGATCTCCGATCACTTGGTCCATCTACCTCTGCATGTCCTGTTGATGCTCTGGGTATTGAACCAAGAAGGTTAAGATCCATCTCAGGGTCGTGCTAGTAGTTTCGTAGCCAGCGAGAAACATATCTTTAATCCACCCCATTCAAACCACCCACAATACCTTTCCGGATTATCACGTAGACTTTTTCCGACAACCTTTCTCTAGAAATAGCTGTATATATTTTAACTTCCGGTTGATGTCCGCAATAATGTCACCAAGCAACAAACTTGGTCCGTTGTTTTTACTGTTTTTCCGGCCGTTTTCGCAATCAAGAAATGGTTTTGGCGAGATATTTTTACCGAAGAAGTATTTTACAGATAACATTGAAGCAATTTTGGACCAGTAGCTCCAAAATAAGAACGAAAATCGAGATGAAAGAACATTTGTCAGGGCGTCTCACTTCGTAGACGAGTTTGTTTAGGTCGCGCGATATGTTTGTCAGAAGTGCGTTTCAGTTCGTCTTTTTACCGTCAAACCTTGCTATTCTTCTCTGGAATCCACCTTGCAATTTACTTTACACCGTGGAAAACCCACACTTAGCTTGGTGCCTTCCCCGCCGGTTAATCAAACTTTCAGCTCCGTACTTTGCCCCAAACTGAACTTGTAAGCGGGCCCACCGTGTTTGTTCAAAAAAATCCAGAGGCCGAAACAACGCTAAATATGCTTTTCAATACAAGTTTAAAAATAGAATAGGACAATACAGAGCAAAGAAGAAGAAGAAGAAAAGAAAGAATAAACTAGGGGCCTTCACGACAGGATACTCGCCGCGGGTCACCCATCCAGTTTTGTAACCCCGCCCGACACAGCTAAATTTGAGTGGCGCTAACAAAAAGCGAGTTTTTAACAAAGAGATTTTAATGCGAGATACTTATTTCTAGGTTATCATTTCATCGTCCCTTGTTACTGAGGGACACGCGGTGAAAGTCCCACAACAATTGGACGGATAAAGGTAGATTTTGGTGCAGCCGTATGATCAGTTCGTCATAAATTTGATTCCTTCAACATGATAGAGCGGCATATGAGTCAGAATAATACCAAATGCGCTCTTTTTTGCATCAAAATCAGTCCCATTGAGTACCTGAGCCGACATGCAGGTTTTGAATGGGGCAAAACAATAGCTGGGAAACTTCCTGTCAACTGAAACACTAACGTGCTTTCAAAACGATCTGCTGGTCGCTGCGATCTTTGATCGAAAAAACTGTTTCTGAATTTTTGGGTTGTCTATCATAATCTTATGAAACTAACTGTTGTTAAGTCGCTGTTATATAATCTTTGAGCGTTAGTTTTGAGCAAGCCTTTGTCCTGACCAGATAAACCTCTTTTTTTTTTTTTTTTTTTTGGGGGATGGGCGTAAGCTTCTTGTAGTACGCGAGATACTGACTGGTTTTGAAAATGTTCATAGGCTGACTATCGCATGATTACTCACGCAGTCAACTGAAACGTGCAGAGTTCGAGGGACCTGGGTATAACAGTCGTCCCAAGAGAAATTGAAGACAATGCGCGGTAAAACTTTGGGGAGGGCGAACAAGGTGGATTATAGGAGATGTGCAAATGGCGTATAACAAAATTTAAACATTACTATGACAATGGAGTATTAAAAGAACTAAAATATTTTCCCTTCGTTGACTTTTCTAGAACTCCGCACTTTTCTCAATGGAAATCTTTACGGTAAAGCATGGATAATAGACTTTCTATTATCCCTGGGTATAGCAATACGAATGGATTTTCATCGGCAGTGTAGACATGACATCAAAACAAGATTACAACAGGTAACACAGATTTTTTAATGCGTTAATTTCAGGTCGGGAACTTCGCCCGGATGTCTTATGGGGGCAGGGTTGAGGGGTTTGGTTCACATTTCTCACGGTTCGCTTCAAAAACCCAAGATCGAAATTGTAGGACAAGATAATTTTCACGTTCGATTTATGTTAGTTTATGCTGATCTCAACACAAAAGTTCAAGTTGTGCAATAAAAAATTAAAAAAAAAAACTGGTTTGCGATCTTTTCATCTTTCAGTACTATCTGCAGTTCGACGAAAAGTCAAGACGCCTTTCTGATCCACTTCCCTCTCCTCCAACAGACATACTGTGAATTCCCCCCTAAAGGGGTACTTGCCTCCTCTTAGGAACGGACGATTCTCTGAGCCCTTCTTCAATTGGCGAATAACGCAATCAGTTGTGCATAATGCCAATCCTTTTGGAAAAGCTGGGCGCGCGTGTTGAGCTCATGATCAGGATTTAGGAAGCCCGTTGTCATTTAGAAGACTGTACTCTTGTGCCAGCTCACACGGTCCACTTCCTACCTGTTACAAAACAATACAGTATAAGACACAAGGATAAAACTATGCTTCCCATGCAATTTTTCCTGAGATTCTTGATGGGAGTTTCCGGCGATTTTCGATAGGACAACAGACGAGTATAAATAATTTTTGTCTGAATCGACCTTTACCCGTCATGTTTTACCTATCACCTGATGAACGAGCACATTCTTGCGATCAAAAAGCAATTTCGTTAAATGAAACAAAAATCTTTGACCAGATTGACTAAACTCAATTCATTTTTCTTGATATAAGCATACTTTACTTCTCTTAAAGCTTGCGTGGACTTTTTCGATTCTTTCGCTTTTTTTCGTCGTATTTTTGCATTATTTTTCTCACTTTTTCTTCTTCTTTTTGCACGCTCAACGTTATCTATTTTCATCCTATTTAATGATTATTTTCTATGGTATAAAGAGATTGTGTATGTTTAGTTAAATTTTCTTGCCGATGGCAGTATTTTATTTAATAATTAAGTCATAAATTTTTAAATGTGGTCCTTTTCATAAGCCTTATTGGCTTCCATGGGCTCCCTTGCCGCATCTTCCTGAATTTTATGTATATATTTAAGTTAAATGTGGCAAAATGATAGCAAAACAATAACGCAATAGATGGTTTTCACACTGACGTCATCAAATTGTAAAGTCAAAATAGCGAGGTTTTACGAATTCTTATTTATACTAGGCTAAAGATAAACAAAAAATAAATCTTTGTACAAGTATCCATTCCAGTAGCATGTTTCATTTCAAAAATACAGTGATTTGAACTTCCGAGTTTTCACAGTGCGTGACCGCAAAATAGGAATGGTGTCTCGTTGAAAAAAGGTCTCTTCTGTTGATTTTCAGGAGTGAAACCATTTCAAGAATTAGAAGATATGTTTATGCGCACGTATGTTAGTTCCCGAGTGAAAAGAAGGAGCTTTTATAGAAAAAGTGAACTCCAGATGTTTTTGATGATTTCCGGCGGCCACATTGGTGGATTAAAACGGTACACCAACATGGCGTCTCCATACAAAGCTCTCAAAAGGTGCGTGAAACGTTTCGGCAAATAACTCAGAAACTGTGGGCCAGAAAGACCTGAGACTTGGACAAATTGTTTATATATTGGTCTTTTATAACATTTCATTTTCTTGGCTTCTTCCACTAGATGGTTTCCAATTTACTGTTTGTTGCGTGACAATGAAAACGATCTATTGAGAAACCAAACTGAACGATCCACAGGGTTCGTACCCTTTTTTGAAAAAAAAAATTCAAGGACTTTTCAAGGACCCATCCTATTTTTCAAGGATCCCATTCAGTACGAAAAAGAGCCCTGAGCCCATGTCTTTTCTAGTTCTTCCACAACATGAGCAATTGTATCGTGAAGGTCTTTCTGTGTTTGCTCCTGTAGGCACTTGAGAATCTGGGTTGGATAAAATTAGCACCGAAATTCAAAGACTTTCCAGCACCGACTGCAATTTTCATGGACTTTCAAAGCCTTGAATTTTTATTTCAAAATTCAAGGACTTTCAAGGTGCGCGCGAACCCTGGATCCAAGTGCGGAAGTGGATCGTTCAGTTTGTAATCTAAGATTGGTTTAGTCCAATTTTGGATCGCAATATCCGGATTTGGTCAAATGGAACGCAACCTTATTGGCTATTACAAGGTTGCAAAGGAAACTGGGTCAAAACTTATCCCCCTAAAACGTTGCCATAATGCAATTCAACACAACATTGAAAGGGTGTTACTCAATAACATCCGTCGAAATGCCCTTAGACACCTGATGAAGTTTATACAACTTAGTATCCCTTATCGCTTAGGTTTGGAGCACTGACTATAGTGATTTGGGTTAGGCAATACTGATTAGGGTTAAGCACTGAAAACAGTGATTAGGGTTAAGCACTAACTTCAAACGGTTAGCTTCTATTTAAGGTTAGGGTTTCATGAACATTTTCTGAGCAGAAATTTCAAGAGATTTAAATGTTTCGTCTTAGTGTAATGTGGAGACAATAAGGAATACTACGTTGTGCAAACTTCATAAAGTGTCCAATGGCCTTTCGATGGATACTATTGAGTGTCGACCAGATCGAAATATTTGGAGCTGGAATAAGATCCTTCCACAATGAACGTCATCCTAGTATAATGGGAATAGTCCTTATGGGTCTATCAAGGATAATCACACCTTTGTTGATATAATGTATTTGATAGCTCCCTGGGTTGGTTCAACATTCACTGACTCTAGGAGATCCTGGAGAGAAACAATTTGTGAGTGTCAGATTTAACATCTCTAAGACAGGATAAATGATTCAATGCACAGGATACCTTTTTTAGACTTAAAGCAAAGAGATTCAAACCTTAGGTAAACTTGTTTGAGCATGAATTTCAATCCCTCTGATGAACCTGTCAGAAAAACCAAAATCAGGAAGAAATGACGTGTGAATGGTACATTGTACGGTTATAACCTATTTCAGACTCAATATGATGAAAATAAAATAACTAAAAAATAAATATGTAACAAATTGAATGGACCAGCATTCTTAAATTTTAAAGGGACATAAGACTGCTACCTTCTTCTGAGTATTTCAGTCGCATAAACCGGATATTATTTCGACTCTTTGTGCAACGCAATGTTTAAAACTCGAATTCTTACCAAGAATGTATGGCCTCATTAACATTTTTTGTTACCTAACACTATGCAAGGAGCTAAAAATTGAAGAGGCTATTAGTTTTTCAAGACAATTCTTACTTAGCATGTTTCTTTTTCTACGTGAATTTCTATTGCTGACGAAGTGAAACGAACAAAGATTCACCTATTGTTAACGGCATAGACGCCCTTGCTTCATATAAAAAGTTTGCCTAATCCTTTTTTGGCCAAAATAATTGGTTGCAAATTAAATGATTATGTGGTGATAAAAGTGCACCTAACCCCCAATTTTTTATTCGCTTAGTTGAAATATCCATCTTAATTTACTTGTTCTGCGAAAAAATAAATCGATTTGGTTAAATATTCTTTTTTGGAGGAAGGTGGTGACAGGCCAAAGACGACTCATAAGCTCGTGATAGTGTGATACGTGACCTTATAGTTTTGCTTTAACGAGGATATCTCTGAGCGATTTTGCTCCTTTATATGAAATGATGGGAGGCTCGTTGTATATTTCGCTAAGTAGTGGTTGATCTTGAATTAAGTGCCATTTCCTCATTAAAATGTTTTTAAGGTTCGGCAAAGCAGGGTGGTACGTGGTAACGAAAGGCAGAATTTTCTTTCGCACTTCATTGTTCTTTTGTAAAACTGACTTCCGTTCGGTAAATTTAACCTCAGAGGTGATTTTTTCTATGAGATTGTGAGGGTAACCTCTAGCGCGAAGGCGTTTTTTGAAGTTGTAGATGTTCTCATAGAAGGATTTAGCTGAGGAGTTAGTTCTCAGAAGTCTAAGGGCTTCGCCCTTTATGAGACCTTTTCTGACCCCGTGAGGGTTACAGGAAGAGAAATGCGTGTATTGAAAAGTCTCTGTACGTTTAAAATGTGTGCGGATGTCAAGGATTCCTTGGTTGTGAAATCTCTCGCCTTTGTAAACAGTTGTATCCAGAAAGTTAATCTCATGCATTATCAGATATTTCAGCCGTACATTTAATTGAAGGGTGATGCCTGTTTGCAAGAGCAATGAATTCATCTATCTCCTTTCTCTCAGTTCTCCACAATGAGAAAATATCGTCAATGTATCTTTTCCACTCAAGAGATTCAGTTTTGCTGAGGTTCAGTATTTCTGTCTCTACTTTATCGCGCTTACTCTATCTCGTTTAATTCGTAGAAATGTTGGCCAGTTTCGTTGGAGTTGAATTCGAAAGCATTGTATCAAAGTTCAGGAAAAAAAAGAAAGTTGTTGTTTCGTGTTCCCGTCCTCGACAAAACGTGAAATTAGGCATTTTCATGTTGTAGTCGTGCAACGACGGTAAAGAAATGTACAAAAAAGCGTGATGCACGTGCAAAGCTGTTATTTTGCCAATCTAAACCTATTGGTGTATTCAGGCCGTTCTCGTTGCCGTCGCCGTCGCCGTCGTCTTTCCTTAAGCTCCCTATTAATTAAGGTCGACACTACTGTTTATTTTGCTGCTACTTACCCGCGATATGTATCTGGAGGGAAAAAAAGCTGTATCATGGCCAGGACTTCAGGAACTTCTTTTTCCATCAGAAACAGACATGCATTTGGTCCGGCATCAAAGGTATAAGCGACCTGAAATGAAACAACAATCTGTGTGATATCTTGCCACAAACTATCATTGCTTATACTCGAGTGGAGTGAAACCTCAGGGTATAAGGAAGACCATCTTGACTCAGAAAACTCCTTACCCATTCATTTTACATCCACATCCACAATGGAGGTGAAAACAACTCGGAACACTGCGGAAAAACCCTTCCAAATAATTGTTACGTACGACTCTGCCCCTGGTAACAATTTCTGGATTGGCTTTGGGCTCATCCCTTCATTCCCCCCTCTCCCAGCAAAAAGGAACTTAAGAACGACGACGGCGACGGCAACGAGGACAGGAAAAGGCAATACGCCACTTGTACATCTCCACCTTATTTGCCCCCAAAAATTTTGTATAAGCAATGTTTTCAATTTCTCTTGGGACGGCTGTAATACCCAGGAGAAATGAAAAACAAAGGTTATGCAAAATTTGGGGGGCAAATAAAATGCATTATGGGAGATGTGCAAGTGGCATATAGGTTTAGATTGGGAAAACAACAACTTCGCACGTGCATCACGCTTTTTTGCACATTTTTTTGCTGTTGCTGCACGACTACAACGTGAAAATGCCTTATTTCACGTTTTAACGTGGACGTGAACACAAGACAACAACTCTCTTTTTCTTTTCTTGAACTTTGAAATAGTCTTTTAAAATTCAACTACAAAAAAATTTGCCAACATTTGAAGAATTAAACGAGATGGAATAAGCACAAAGTTTGAGGCAACGCGAATTCACTTTACAAGTGAGGTTTTCGTACCCGCCGCCTTCGTTGTTGGTTAAGCTCCTTAATGTTACGCCCCCCCCCCCCAAAAAAAAAAAAAAAAAAAAAAAACTTGTTTCTACCCTTTTTGCTCAAAATTCAACATTGTTTGGGGTGGAATGAGGAGGTCGCCCTTTTTACTAAAATGCAGTTTTGAACTATTTAAGAAGTTGAATTGACTTCCACTTCACGTCGAGGTGAAAGTAAACATTTGTATTCAAGTTCACAGCCGTATTAATGGACATAGCCCAAGCTACACGAACGATCTTCTGGTATTAAATTCGGACATAAATGATCGGAATAGCCGAAATAGCTCCTTGAACTTAGTCTGCCCTCGCTTCAAACGTGAAACCGAAGGGGACGTACGTACATTTAGTGGGAGGTCAGCAAGATTATGGAATGCAATCCCAAATTCTTTAAAGAAGATTGAATGTGTACTTAGTTTTAAAAAGGCCTTAATTGACTTTTTTGCATCTTCTTAATTTCCTTTGTTGTAACTTATATTACTTCCTATTTACAATTTTTGAATTGTATTTTACTGTTGTATTTTTTAATTGCAATTTCACTTTATTCTACGTCTATTTTTAATTCTGGGTATGTTTTTAATTGTAATTGTTAACTGCTGCATAATGACGACCGCAGGTTTGTCAGTTTACTTTTTTGCATTAGGCTGCTTGCAAACGGACGCAACATTGTTGACCAACAACTCCCAACATTGTTAGATGCTACATGTTGCGTCCGTTTGCACACCCTGTTGCCAGGACAGGACTTGTTTTGCAATACTGGTTACGGTGCTCTAACCATTCGTAAACCATCAAGCGAGTAATCTTATTTAAATTAGTAAAAACAATAGATTTTCCTCATTAGCATTAAATTCGGTGTTCAACGTTTGAAAGGAGCCTAACTTTGAGAATAGGCTTATTGTTTTTTTTTAATTGCATGTATTCCCGTAAAAAGAGTAAATGTAGATGGTTTGTTTTATCGGCGTGTACATGACTTGGACGTCGTGGCTTGCAGGTTAAAAGGTTGACGGTTTGTTTTTAGCGGAACGTGCACTTAACTTATGTGTCCTTCAACCTTGCCCTGTCGAGCAGCCAATCAAAACATAGGAATTGCTTCATTCAGCCGCTAGCGGAGCAAGCCACTGAGAAATATGGTTAAGTATTGTGATTTTATTCCAAACACTCCCTCTTATCTGATGTTATCTGGGAGACAACGTTAGTAGCGTTCCAAGCATGAAAATCATATGTGCAGGACTAGCAAAAACTGGAACAACGTCCTTGGCGAGCGCTCTAAGGGTCCTTGGCTATAAAGTCTACGAATATCCAGAACACGTAGCGTTCAACGGCGAAGAATGGCTTGATATTTACATGAAAGGCAAAAGCCCTGACTTTGTTTCTATGTATAAAGATGTCGATGCGGTAACCGATCGTCCACCAGCCTTCTGGTTTCAAGAAATCTCAGAGGCTTTTCCAGACGCTAAGGTAATTCTAACTGTACGAGACAGCGAGGAAGTCTGGCTGAAAAGCTACATGAAATTAAACGATGTGTTGAGAACTTTAAACGGGAGTGGATTCTTGACTAAGCTGTTTATCAAGAGATGGTCTCACTGCACATATTACGCACTAGCCGATGTTATGGATAATGCAGCCATGGGTAGCTTACAAACAGAGTCAACTATTTTGTTCAAGAAAAAATATCGCGAGCACAATGAACGAGTGAAGGTCGTCATTCCTGAGGAGCGGCTTTTGGTGTTTAACGTGAAACAAGGCTGGAAACCTTTGTGCAAGTTTCTCGGTTGTGAAATTCCAGAAGAAGACTTTCCCTGGTTGAATGCAGGACAAAGTGACAGCTTGCAAGGACTGGCTCAACGGAAACAAGAATTTGCCCTCACAGTGCTCAAGGTTCTCTCTTTTCTAGTCGTCCTGTTTTGCTTGGCTTACTATGTAAATCATGTTGATCTAATCACTGAAGTCTTTCTGTAGTGAACTTGTCGAAGTTTCTCTTGTTTTGTTCCGGCGTTTGTTTGCTTTTAGAGAGTTGCAGCGAAAATTTTAAATACGTAATACTTTTAACCAGAAGCTCTGGAGTCTTGAATTACCTCTCCCATACTAAAAAACTGATCTGGAAGTGTGCCACGAAAACTGTGTATTATAATTTACCCCTATTTTAATTATGTATCATTGTGATGGGGCAACACCTATGAAACTGATTTAAACAAGATCTGTACTAAGAAAAACACATGTACTGCTAATACAGCCGAGTAAAAACCTGCGTGTAAGAACCAGGTTTTTGAACCTGTTAGGCTAAAATTTGCCACTTAGGCCCCCTCTATACAAGAACCTGTTTAGCCTTAAGATTTCAAACAGGATCTTATTTTCTCAAATCTAGATTATTCTCTCTTGCTAAAGTCTATAAAAAAAAATTCTGCACACATGGGCAAACAAAATAAGTCAACATTCAGGATCCTCTTTGGAGGCATTTAGGTGGATATCACTCCAAATGCAAATGTAATGTACGCAGATTTTATAAAAGGAATAAGCTGCATACGACTAAAATTTAATACTATTAGCTACAGTAAAAGGTTACAGCAAGAGCAGAAAGTGAGAGTAGAGGAGCGTTAACCGCCAAAACACATCGTCTGCCCGCAATTTTTGTGTTTACGTGCTTAGCGACAATTCAATAATCTTGAGAAAGTGTAACCCGAGATAGCGGGGTCTTAGGCTGCATGTAAACACGGGTTTTTTACCCCACCTCAACGGGTTACTTCACCACCACCATGTAAACAGGCCCTAAGATCTGACAGCGACGACAGCTTCAAAAAACCAATAGGTTTAATAAACGAAGAAACTTTACACTCGCAGCACACTTTTTTTGTACATTTCTTTGTGGAGTCATTGCATCACTACGACGTGAAATGCAGAGTAAGTACGTTTGAATGACCGGAATAATCGAGATGAAGATTGAACAAACGCGAATTCATTTTCTAAGCGACGTTTTCGCCGCTGACGCCGTCCTCGTTCGGATAATAGACTTTACTTTACTAGTAGTCAGTCCAATATGACGTGTTTTAAATGCGCAAATGTAAAATGATAACTGAAATGGTCATATGGCAGTAAAATCAGCTATCAACAAAGCTAATCATACCTTTGGCTCGCCGTACAAATTGTTATATCCAGTCACCATTTGAACGACTTTATGCGAGGTGTGGTTCATGTAAGGTGGTGATATAGGAGGGTAGGTATCTTGGCATACTGCATGAAGCTGATTACTTTCCTAGAAAGTGAGAAAAGTTAGCTCAGGTTAAACTTACCAAGTGAAAAGATATCATCATTTATCTCATCGATTTTGCAATCACTTGTCGCATCCTTGCAATCTGATTAGCTCTAAGGGTCGTTTCAGTGGAAAATTTTCCGGAGCAATGGAACGTCTGACAAGGTAGTCCTGTTTTCCCAGTGGGAACGTTACAAGCGAGAATTCGTTTTCATTTCTTTACACTTGCCTTTGATACCACTTTCAGATTTTCGCAGTCGTTTTTCGGTAAACGGGACTGATTTGTGCAAAAGATAAATGAGTTTTCATGCAACGCCAGAAAAAATCACCAACCTCTTACAAATTGAACGACAATGGAATATGAGCGATGAATTTTGAAACAGCGTGAATTCATTTTTTAAGAGACAGTTTTCGCCACCGTCGTTGTCTTCGTTGCTTAAGCTACCTAAAGACACTACTTATCAATTTACGCTATCACTGCAGACAACTTTTGCTGTTAACCTTTTATTGAATAAAGAAGGGAAGTAGAGAAAAAAAATTGGTCTAATGTACCTTCATTGTAGTTTCTGCAAACGTCCTGAAATCTCTTTCTAATATAGCCTTTTTTATAACCTCCATTCTCTGGGGGACACAAGATTCAGCTCTTAACTGAAACAAAAAAAGAGGAAAAAATGGTAACAATTCGTTTAAACAGTTAAAACTCCTACAACTGTTTCTGGCAGTGGAATAGATCAGTAGCAGATCCAGGAGAGGGGCAGGCCCCCCCCCTTATTTTTAGACCAAACTGAGGCCAAACGAAGGGCCAAAAAAAATTTGTTTTGAGACGGGGCCCCCCTGTTATCTCGGGGTCTGGATGACCGCCACTGTAGATTTTGGATAACTAAGAAACCTACCGGTGCAAGTATTTTGCTAAGGGCTTCAGAATGGGGCAGACCCCTTTTATAGGAAGAAAAGTTATCCCGGGTCACCCGCCTACCCGAGCCAACTTATCAGACAGTTTCTTACAAAACGTGACGAACCGTTTACACGGTTCACTCTTTTGCGTTGGTAGGGTCACCCTCCAATATAGCTAACCAGGCCAAATATTTTCTATACAAACACTTTCGCTTGCCCAACCGGGTCAACTCGGTAATAACAGCATGAACATGCGCTGTTTTAGACAATGCGCCAGTGCTGTAAGCTCAGGCAAAGGAAGAGCAAAGGGATCAGCTTTTTTCTCATACAAATGCTCGCTTAAGTTGATTATGTACCTTGATTGCAATAATTGTACGCTTTCTTTGGGGTTTTCCCCCTTTTTTCTGTTACATGGCTTGCTTGTACCTTGGTTATATCAACTGTAAGCTTTTTTCTTTAGTTAACAAATTTACGAATTTTTTTAAAAAAAGTTTGACTCGGCTGGGAGGTTGACCTTTATACCCTGGACCAATGTAAGCCATATAAAATAAACGGGAATTCAGTTCAGTATGGTCTAAATAAAAGCCTGCGTTATAAAGCGAGGTGTGTGACACTCTGCCTTTCATCGGTTTTGAAAGCTGTCATCGGGGGTGGTATTTGTTAATCTGCCTGATATAATTGGTAGTTAATGTATAAGAAGTCTTTTTGTTGTCAGTGGTTCCTCCTGCTATCAAAGCGGCCATGTCATTTTTAAGCTGAGCTGAAAGTAAACCAGATTATTATTCATTCAAATTATTTCTCCGTTTCTGATTTGCTAGAATCACATGCATAATTCATCATAATCAGCTACTGTTCACCAAGTTTGGAAGAATTTTGCCATATTAAACCAATGACGTCAAAAGAGCAGCAAAGTTGCAGATTATTGAGCCATTAGCCAAGAAGACCTGGGGAAGAGATTGAGTTCTTTTCAGAGTGAGTAATGGCGGAACATTTTACTCTTTTCAAGACGAACTATTGTCTAAAAGCATAGCAAGAACAGCAAGAGGACAACTCGACGGACGACATCTACTATTTGGAGATACTTGCAGACCTGAACAGCCCTTTATCTCCTAAACTTCCCGATAAAGACGCACTATCGATTTGAACTAACATCGACGGAGGTAAGCATGTTTTAGCTTGTTATTAAACTTGGAATTATTTTGAACTAATAATAAAGCAATTACAGTGAAACCTCTATTAAGCGGACACCTTCGGGGCCTTCCCAAGGTCTGCTTAATAGAGGGTGTCCGCTTAATAAGGGTTGTAAAAATTGCGCAATGTTTGTTAGCGATCAAGGTTCAACGGTTACTTTGTACGGCGATAAAGTTGCATGTTGTTAAAGAAGGTATCCAGAGTTCAAGTTCATTACCTTTCATTATCAACTTTAATTTGTTTGTAATTGCAAAAACACTAACTGACTTCAGTCCATATTTCAAGGACGTAATCCAATACTACTATTGTCAATTCAGTCCGGTGTCCGCTTAATAGAGGTTTTTAACAATAGAAATTAGCCAAATACAACTTATTTTAGTGTCCGCGTCCGCTTAATGGAGGTGTCCGCTGAATAGGGGTTCGTTATAAAGGGAAATATCAGACGTTCGTTTCGGGACCCGGCTTAGTGTCCGCTTGATTTGGGGTCCGCTTAATAGAGGTTTCACTGTATTGAATTCGGCTTTCGTAGGATATGAAGAATCGGGGCCGACTAAATATGCCTAATTGGCCTCAGTCCCCTCTCTTCATATGCAGAGCTCCAAAAAAATTGTTATCGAATGGTTCTGATCACAAGGAACACACGGTAGGATCGATTCTTGTCGATTGTTTAACAACACAGTAGGTTAACTTTAAAATATTGGTCCATTTTTTCCAGTTGCAATTCGTTTCTATCCTGGGCATCAAAACTAAAAAATGTGCGCATATATTACAGTTGACCCTTTCTCGTCCCCAGAACCTCCTGGAGGCCTGAGTACGAGTACCAGGAGGCTTTGGGGACACAGGATTTGAAGTCCAAGATTTGAGGACTTCCGGTCATTTCTGATTTTTTACAACGTTTCTAATAGCAGTCACTTGCTCTTGCCCAAGTGTCATCGACTGTAAATTTAGGTGATTCAAAGCTTTTAAAAGAAAATCCTCCAACTTTCATTTGAATCGGAAATGACCGGAAGTCCTAAAATCTAGTACTTCAAATGCTGTGTCCCTCGTGTCCCCAGAGCCGCCTGGTCCTCGTGCTCAGCCCCCCAGAGGGCTCTGGGGACGAGAATGCAGTTGACCCAGTAGAGCAATTTTGAATACCGTATTTTCTTGAATAATAGCCGGGGGAGATTATTTCTTTTTTCCCACAAAAAGGGAGCGATTCAGTTCGAGAGAAGGCGATTATTCGAGGGAGGCGATTATTTCAACAATTGTTCACTGGAAGTCTTGCCCTAAATATTTTGTTTCATTTTCCCATTAAGGCCAAAAATAATCACATCAAATAAACTGAACATGGCTTTTTAAGTGTTCCAGATTTAGTTCCTTGATTAATTCGTCACTGATCAGTTTTGATGGATCACATTGCACTTGAACTTGTCGGGATCAGGAAGAGAAGACGGCGAGAGGGGCGGGGGGGGGGGCGATTATTCGAGGGAGGCGATAATCGAGGGACGGCTATTATTCGAGGAAATACAGTAACACTGAACCAGTATTTCGGCGTTTTCTTTGATTCCAATGTGTTTGTGTTTTTGCAGTTTAAGAGTAATAGCAAAAAGAGATTTATATAGTAACATAGCTCTAATTACCTTAAGCAAATCACTGGTTTCTACACTTCTTCTCATTCCCTCTGTACTACTTGTGCCTTTTTTGTTGTCGTTTACCTAAAAAATTAATGTGCAAGTTAAAAATGACAGGAGAATTGACTATTAAGTAAGGGTTACTTTAGTCCATACTCTAACTCTGTAAAACGCAAAATGCCTCACAAAAAGGGTCACTGCGATGTACAGTGGAATCTCGATACACTACAGTGATTTTGTTACCTCTGCGTCCTGCATCCCTGACGCATAAAAATCCTCAGAGACGCAAAATAATTCATGGCATGCATCCCGTAGGAACACAAAGATCGTTCGACTGACCTGAACATGTGTATTTTTAACAATTATTGCACGAGCCCAATAGCCCATGAGGGCGAGAGGAATAATGGATTTAGTAAAATCCCACTAGCTGGTCAAAAATATCGAGACAAAACAACTTTAGCTGGTTAAAGCTAGACTTTAATCCTTTTTTTGCCGCCAAAAAGCCGGCGCTTTCGCTACTTGTTGGCTATAACATATAGCCGAGTAGTAGCTCAACCAATCAGAACGCAGCATTGATAATAGACCACAAGTTGGATTTTAGAGGTTTCTAAGTGGAAATATCCCATTTGAGTAATTTCTGTGGTAGTTATTATGGCTGTCGTTTAACGATGCATATTTCTTTTAGCCTTTTTCTTAATTTGCTTTGCTTTAAGATAGAAGGACTTTATGTTAATTTCTGTACACTGTAATACAGAGTGTTGTGGTCTGTCTACAGATTAACTGTCTGTTTACATAAAGACCCAAGCATTTTCAACTTCCAGCTCGTTTTCTTTTTCACTGGGACCCATTGGTTCCGGACTGGGACTCATGATTTTTCACACGATGAGTCCCAGGACTCACCATCACTATTTGTAACAAAATCACTCTACAACGAATCTCTATAACGAAGTGCTCAGAATAACGAACGATTTTCTTTACCTCAGTAACAGTAAAATATATGAAAAACAACCTCGATATAACGAACCTCAATCTAGCGAAAATTTTGTCAGTCCCCTGGCCCTGCATTAAATCAAGGTTCCACTGTATTTTTTAAAAATTCAACATGTATCTCTATGTCGCAAATGGGTATGGAGGACCCCACCAACTGCAACTGCAAATTACATCAAGACATACGGGGCTTTTAAACTGGAAGTATTATTTCTTTTCATACACAGGATGTTAATCATTCACAGTCAGGCCTACAGTATTGTGTCTCTGGTAAAAATAATAAATGAGTTTCAAGATTCATATTTTTTCAGTACTATCCACCATGTTAGAGGTTCCTTTTGTCTTCTTGAGTGAGAAGTCCTGAGAAAAGGTGGCTCTACCTGAATCACGTCAAACCTTTGAGTCACGGCAGCCTGAACTTCCGGACGAGCAAGTCAGTCTTGTTTTCTCTCGTTAAAGTGGTTTTTTCGAGTGCGAGCATCAGTTTATTGATAAACCGATGGTCATAACCTAGCCCACTATAGCAAGATCATGGAGCCGAGCTATTAGGCCTGGATTCCAAACTATGTTGCGCATGCTAAACAAAGATGCAGAGTCTTTCTCGAGTTCGCCAAAATTGAGCAAGCAAAAGAAAGGCTCTGCTGACAGGGCGCCACGTTAGAGGCAGTAGTCTGCTAAAAATTCAGATTTGTGCATTCTTAGCATTATTGTGAAACTCTGTTATTTTTCAAGGCTAAGGAGGGAAAACATGACAGTATGAGCAAGGTTCATACTGCTTTTCGCCAGATCATCGCGTCTGGACACCATCTGAAAATTATTTTGAGGCGTGTACTTACTACCAGAATAAGTACTCTCAATCCTGGCCAGTGCTCTTCTGAAGCAATCTGAAAAAAGAGGTTGTAGATATAATGCTGACCCAAATAATTAACACTCACTTCAGTTGCTCTGGAAAATTATTACACCGCCATACAATCTAGACTTGGGATGGGGAGTGGAGTTTTGCCTTCTGTACAATAACACTAGATAAGGTTTGCAGAATATGCAGCTGATCATGGACTGGTAAAGTCATTTCAGTCGCTCCAGAAATCTGTGCCACTACATTATGTACAATCAGCAACAAAATTGTTGAGACAAAGCCCACACCCCTACCCATCCCCACCATTCAAGTTAGAGTGTTTGTCGTATTTTACGTGTGCAGGAAGCTCGAATGGTGGCCCAACATTGCATGGAGGGGGTGCGGATGGGAAAGCTCAATTTTCTCCTTTTGAAGTCGGTAAAACATCAGAAAGCCCATTTAGGGTTAAGTGTCTCTACTAACTTTGTCACCGATTGTAGTCTTGGGGTTGGGTGTAGAGTTTTTCCTTCTATGTTAGGTTAGGTTTGCAAAACGCAGCTTAGCATGCCCTGGAATAGATCAACAATATCAGGTTACTTTGAAGACTATCATTAGTCACCTGTTTAGCTATGCTGTCTGAACCATCCTTCTTTTCTCCTTTCTCCCACGCTACAAAGCCTCCATACATGCTGCGGCAAGCACTTCCTGAGCCCTGTCTGAACAAGAAAAAATTATTAAAATTAACAATTGTAAATAAATAAAAATCATAAGAAAGTCCTCTTCTAATTTCCAATAGAATACCTTCCAAAAAACTATCAAATCTGCCTTTTTTATTGTTATTGTATATTTTAAATGTTTATTCTCCTGCAATTATCGACGCTCAAACAGGTACAGGTGCATGTACTTTCTTTGAAGTGGGGCTTGAAGATTGCGAAAGAGTTTTTAGGTGGCTGTTGAAAACCTGGATCAGGACGCATCAGATCAACCCCGCAACCCTTTCCCTAGTTTCCTGTCTTTAATTGAGTTACAGGTCAATCTGCATAATTCTTCACATAACACTCAGCCTCATTCAATAATTCATTTTATTACTCATTCAAAATATTTCTCCTTTTCTGATTGGCTAAAATCACACAATAATTCATCATAACCAGCTATTGTCGACCAAATTTGGAAGAATTTTGTCATATTGGACTGATGAAGTCAAAAGTGCAGCAAAGTTGCAGATTATTGAACCATTAACAGAGAAGACTTGGGGACGAGATTGAGTTGTTCTGGTAGTGAGAACAAATATGGTGGAACATTTCAATTGTTTCACCAGGGAGAAATAGGTGAACTGTTCGCTAAAACATAGGAAGAACAGCAAGGAGACAAATCGAAGGGCGACATCAGCTATTTAGAGAATATCAATTTACAACCCTTTATCTCCTAAACTTGCCAATTAATGAGCACTATCGAAGATGAACTTTACCATCAATGGAGGTAAAAAGCATGTTTTAGCTTGTTTTTAAACAAGGAATTATTTTGAATGAATATTTTATAAAATAATTATTGAATTCGGCTTTTGTATCTTGAAGATTTCTGAGGGTGTTATCCACCGAGGCTGTAGGTATTTTACCTTGCAATGCCCGAAAGTTCACCACTGACTTGAAATAACTTTGAAAGAGCAAACACTGCAGAGACAAACAACAATGGACACATAAATGGTAATAAAAGATTTTAAAAATCAAAGAGATATGCAGTGTTTTGATAACAAAACCATTCAGAGTCCCTGTTGACAAAATCATGATAGACTGTTCACCAGCTCACTGCAGAATATAAATTTATTAACATTTTTGCTTGGCTTTAACCTAAAACCAGTGGAGATATGGAAAACCGAGAGGGGGCAAAATAGTAAGTGAAATACAGTTTGCTTCAACCTTACTGGAATTGAAGGAAAGAAATGTCTTAATAAAAATTTATGGGTGGACGAGTTTCAAGAAAATCCTCATTCACATTATTTTGGAATTTTTAGCTAAATCTTAATTAATCTCTCAAGGTCATTGTCCTACAAGGATCACTTCACTCTTAAGGGCCTGGAGTAGACTCATCATTGCCAACTAGTTCCAGTTTTTAAAGATGGGAGACCTTAAATATGAGTACAAAAAATGTAACATTGTACCATTTTTGCACAGTCACACATTGCCATGGTATGCTTGTGGTCTTAGTAGGGCACGTGATCAGAAAAACTTGTGCTTTGTTGTTGTTATATTTTTGGTGGCATTTAAAAGGTTGAATGTATCGCCATCATCCTTCTTAAGTGTTTGGGACCATTATTGTTGTGTCAGGTGTCAGGAGAAATCAATTAAAAATCTTCAAGCAAGAAATTCAGCACCTTTCAGTTGGCGCTTTAGACGTTTTTGAGAATTTGGATCGTGATACAGTGACAGGATTTGAGCAAATAATGCCAACCACACCAGGAGAAAGCAACAGGGCCAAGAGCAGCAGCACAGCACAGCAACACCTCCACGTCCTGCAGCACTGAAGCAAATATTTACTTCTAATTATGTCCCAGTACCTCCTAGACTAGACCGTGGTGACTTAGCAAAAGTCTTGGAGTTGTGGAATAATTACTGCATACATAGGCAAGAGTAATACGATTTATGTGCACTACATATTTTATCTTAGAGCAAAAGAACCCACCAAAAAAATTGAAACCTATGCATCTGCACATTGCACAATGGCTGATACCTGTGCCTTTGGATCCCTCAAGGAAGAAATGATTAAAGACTGACTCCTATGTGGTATTTCAGACAGTGGACCACGCAAGAAGCTGCTGCAAGAAGCAGAGCTTATATTGGAAAAATGCATGAACTATAGCAGATGAAGCTGCAAACAGACAGCTGAAAGAGATTGACCTCCAGCCAATGCAGAAGCAGTCAACTGAATGACTACAAAAAGGCAAGAGCAATGAGAATGTGCAAAAACTGTGGCAGAAAACATGAGTGAGGAATGGAGAAATGACCAGCATATGACAAAACCTGAACAAAGTGTTTCAAACAAAACCACTTTCATTCTGTCTGCCTACAAACAAGATGGGAGGCAAGCTGCAGTTGGAAGTTGACAATAAAGTGACAACTGTTGTAATACCACCCCAGCGTGTCCCTGTGGCAATTAAGGTAAGAGTGAAGGAAGAACTTGATCACCTTGAAAGCCTGGAAGTAACCAGAAGAGAAGATGAACCTACAGAATGGGTATCCAGCATGGCTGTGACTCAGAAGCCAAATGGAAAAGTTAGGGTTTGCCTCGACCCAAAGCACCTAAATCAAGCATGGAAGAGGAGACACTAACCACTACCTGTTGCCGAGGAAATTTTGCCAGAGCTATCCAAAGTAAAAGTGTTCACAAAAGCTGATCTGAAGGATGGATTCTTTCATATACAACTTGACTAAGAGTCCAGTAAGCTTATGACATTTCATACCCCTTGGGAAAGGTGCCGGTGGCTCTGCGCCATATGGTATCTGCCCAGCACCAGACTGTTTCCAACAACAGCTCGACCACTGTCTTGAAGGGCTGACGGGAGTGTATAGGATAGCAGATGATTTACTCATCATTGGCCAAGAGGACACTGACGAAAAGGCTGTCCTTGACCATGATCAAAACCTGAAGAACCTTCTAGAACGTTGCAGAGCAAGAAATATAAAGCTGAACAAGAGGTTCCAGTTCAAAAGCCGTGCAATGTCATTCATTGGCCATGTAATGATTATGAATGGTCTGAATGCAGGTCCTGAGGAAGTTGAAGCAGTTATCAAGATGGAGCAACCAGCAGCTGATGTAACAGCAGTGCAGAGATTCACTGGGCTAGTGAAGTACCTGTCCAAGTTCCAACAAGACCTATCAGAAATGTGTGAGCCATTGTGGACATTGAACACTTTATCAAACTGTTGAATTTGTTTATTCAGAGTTTCCCAGTCAGTGCTTGCATTGTTGTTGCATTGTAGCTAGTCAACTCTTTAATAGTGTAATAAGGTTTTTTTTCTTAAAGGAGGATTAAGATGTCATGGTATACCTGTGGTCTTAGGTAACGTGATCAGAAAAACTTGTGCTTTGTTGTTGTTGTATTTTTAGTGGCCATCAAAAGGTTGAATCTATCACCAGCATCCTTCTTAAGTGTTTGGGACCATTATCGTTAAAGGTTCTAACTGTCATTCTGAAGAGAAAAGTGTCTTGGAGCCACTTGCTTCCTGAAACCTCAGTCGCTGGCAGTAAAAATTCATATTTTTCCTGTTCTGAGGCCATACAACCTTTTACCACCTATGAGGCAATCTCATTTTTTAAAACATGATTTCTTTCTTAGCCAGTTTAATCAATAATGTAAAGAAAAAAAAAGGCAAATTGAGGGGTTTGAAAAATTATATCAATACCTACCCCGCAGAAAGCTAAAATTTTGTGGGGAGAGGCCACAGAGACCCAGACTGATTAACAGGAAAAGTATCAATAGCCACCCATAAAATAAGAAATTGAAGTTGAGAGGAAGGACCGTGTCCTTAACGACTTAAAGGCCAAAATGAAAAGTGTGGCACTAACATAATGAAGTAAACTGGAATTTCCAGAGAGGGTGGGATTTGAAACCAAAACAACCATAGGAGTAGCACATGTATGGCTATTTTCTGGAGCTACACAAGCCCCTTATATGAAAGTTTTTCCCCTTTTTTTTTCTAGTCAGCGGGAGTTTAAGTAGGACAGCAACAAGTCAATTCATACACATGTACCTAGGCAAGAATAGCCAGCAGCTGAGGATGCCAGTCCTGCTGCTGTCGGAAAGTTGTTCTCAGAACAGATATGAACATGACAGTCCTTGAGTTCTGACCACCTGCTGTTAAGATGATCACTCTTACACAGTTCTCGAACTAAAAATGAATTAGAATACACACAGTTAATATCTTGTGGGAAATGCTAACACCAGGGATAACATCATATTTTATTAATACATTGATCACTGATAAGGACCACTGTATATAAATATTACAAGTTAATAAAGCTTCTTTTTCCATATCAAAAATATCAGACAGACAGCATACGCCTTCCAATTCAATCTCAGAACATGTCTGAAATACTAAAAAATATAATTAGACTGAAAAAATTTTGGGAAGTTTTACCTCATAGGTGCAAATGAAATGGTTCATATTTCATAATCATCATGACAAATTATTAGCTTTACTTTATGGATGCAACTATATATAAGTTATCCAATACTCAATAGAGAAAATAAAATGGTTCATAAAGGAATTATGTGTGCATTTCGTTTTGCAAAGGAGAAGTCACTTAGAATTTCACCATAACCTGAACTCTGGTAAAAGTTTCTTAGAATCATTTTGAGATTAGATAATGGCTGAAAAAGCCAGCTTTACAACGATAGCCTAACACCACAACAGAAGTGTATATATGTTAAAAACTATAAATCATACTAGACTAAGAAATACTGGTATTTTCTCTGTACCCAAAAACATTAACATTATCCATGAAAATCAACCTGTTTGTGGCTAGTTAGAATCACATTATTTCTCTTGTGAATAAAGAAGAATCATACGAAACATTAAATCATCAGTATAACAAATATATATTTTTTTCAATACCGGTATCTAATTATGTATCAGAAATCTCACTTTTTAACAGGCAATTTTGAATTCTGGGCATCTCAGCAATTTCTTGCTTCCTATACATAAATAAAAAAGATTGGAAGGTAAAACCTTATGGACTGATTACGAACATTCACCATTGCAAGTCATCAACAAAGAAAAGGAATCCTTTATTAAAGCCTTAAGAATGATAAGTATAAAATTTGTCCTTATTTTATTCTCGCATAGTGAATTTATAAATTTGTTGTGCACGACAACAATTGCTAAGTAAGGCATGATGCCTATCTTGCTTTGGTCATAAATCGTAATATCAAAATAATAATAATAATAATAATAATAATATAAAAATGTTGTTATTATTATTATTTTGATATTACGATTTAAAGGTTTAAAAAGTGTTGCAACATCCTCATCCTGGGACCCAGACTCTCAGTCAAATTCCTGAGGAAATAATCGTTATTTTTTTCAACGATACGGTAGTGACATAAAAAAGTGAAAGCACAACGTTTATACAGCTCTCACCTTCCATTAAGCCATAAACAGTCTTCTGAAAATTTGTGGCTGGCTGCGACAGTGGTAATGGCATGCAGCTTAAAGCAAATCAAAGACGGGTATTTCTTGGTTAAGTTTATAGCACTTTCAATGACACATAACTGTCTAGAAGGGAAATTTTACACATACAAGGGAATTAGTCCTACCTCATCTTTATTGAGAGTGGCACTAAGGGAAGAATTCAGTGGTAATATGAGTTCCTCGTCTCTCTTCCCCCCTGGAAAGAAAAATAACCAAAAAATGAATTTCTAATCTTACAGGATGAAAATTAACAAATAAAACCATTTTATTTTATTTTACTTACAATATTTTATGACGGCAATATTTACTGGGCTCTGGCAAGTAACCATATGAACGCAATCACCCTTGCAGCGTTGTGGAGTTACCTTCTCCGCCATCTTGAATGTGAACGGGTAAGCCCTGGGAACGACCCACGAGGTGAAGGTTACTACTTTATGTAAGACAATGCTCCTGAAATTTCTTGCTTGCAGTCCAATTTGTCTAGTTCTTGATCTCATCCAGCGCGATTGCAAACCACGATGTTATTATATAGGGATCGAGACGAGACGAGAAAAGACTCTTATTTTTTCTTCTCGGGCTTACGCCCTGGTTTCTCGAGGCAAGCGGCTTCGCCACCGCTTCGCCGCTCGCGTGCTTAGGTTTTGAGTTTAGTAACTTTGCAACTGAAAAAAAAGAGACTGCTCGCAGTCTAAGAAGACCCAAATATTAAATTGCAGACTGCAGACTGACTGCAGACCATTTTGTTTGCAGGGGTACGTTCGGCAAAAAGTCGCTCCCAGCTCTACCGTCCCTGCCTAGAATAAAAGGCTCCTGCACCTGCGGTGAAGAGGAAAGGGAGTGAAAAAGGAGGAAGGCCAAGGCAACACACATTATTTTCGCCTCATGGGGTAGCTAGAGCCCCTGGGGAGGGACTCCACATATTATAAAAGGGGTGGGGATGCTCGTCGTCTCGCTTAGGGGTGTAAATTTCGGATTTTGGTCTCAATTTAGGGTGTTCTGGGCAAAACGCCATCATACTACCTACCCATGAAGGTCTTGTTTAGGGTTGTACGTGAACAGGAGCTCCTGAAAAAATATTATAATAAGTGTATTTTCTGTGTTTTAACCTGGTCTCTTTTAGGGGTCAAAAAAAGCTTGGGCTACGCCCGGATCGGTCTCTTTTAGGGGTTTAATTCAAAATTGCCGACGAGCATCCCCACCCCTTTCATATGGGGAGTCCCCCCCGGGGCTAGAGCCTGGTCCCAGGCAACATTGGGGATACCTTCGGTCTGCTAAATGAATCCTATGATCCGTATAATTCGAGAAAATTATGATTCTAATATTATCAAAATATGAAAACTATATCGACTGAATTTTCAGTTCCCCGTCCCGTTTCATAACCCACTCCAAGAGCAGGCCCCAAAAGGAAAAGGATTTGGCAGATTTTTCCTGGATTTAGAGGACCAATGACGCTATTTCTAACCTGTACCTTGGTAGCCTGTGAACAGCAGACGTATTTCCGGTCGTCGCTTCTCTCTGAGGACGTTACAGACGTCAGGACGTGCCTTGTGGGAGCCAGGCAGTCACGATGATTTCTCGTGATTTCCTGAATTCCGCCCGCAGTTTCAATTACCTGTTTTTGGCGGGATCGGGACAACAGACGGGACGAGGAAGACGGGATAAAATTCGCTATTGACCAATCAGGAAAAGGCTAGAACAGGCGCGGCGCGAAGCCAGCGGAGTACACACAGGGTTGGCGCAAAAATTCCTCCTTTCTCCAACTCATGTTTATAGTGAGACTGTTACACAGTGTAGATATATTTCCGGTCAAGTGTTTTCTTGGGAATCTGAAGTTCAAGCTAGAGGTATCATTCAAAGGGATCAAGGTACAGCAAGATTCAAGATAACAAGTCGTGCTGCGTCATCGTTCGAAAGAAACCAACGGTGCCGGCTTCTTATTCTACCGGTCGATGTTGAAGTTGTTCAAGATCTCACGGGTTACTGCAGAACTTATTTTATCTACAAACATGTTCCATGCTGAGCTGTAACAAGTACAAGCAAGTTGTGGCGGGATCAACGTAGTAAAAGTTCGCGAAATAACTCGTCGATAATTCATTGCGTCACTGTTCGGTCCATAGGAAACCACTGCTGCACTGCAGTTAATTGATCAATTGCACAGAGACTTTGATCACAAATTGTGCAACTTCAGAAAAAGAGTCTTTAAATTAGAAAATTGGAGATCTCTGCCGAATATCGGAAAAGGAGTTCTGGAGGGATCTTTTTCAACATCGGATTTCATACAAAGCACGCATCGTTATAATTATGACTCACAGCCTCAATTACTCTGAGCAACAAGCACTTCTTGGCTCAAACAACATCCAAGGAAAACATTTTCGAAGCCCTTATTATAGCGGTGTAATGCTTGAACAGCCTCTTAATGCAAGTGATGTAGACACTACTACAAGTGTAGGCGTGTTTAAGTCTCGCTCAGTGGTCCAACAACCAAGCGAAGATTTCTTTCACGAGGGTATACCGATATGGAGGGCTGCTTTGCTTGTGGTAAATGCAGCTCTTGGTGCTGGTATTTTGAACTTTCCTCAAGCGTATGCCGAATGCGGTGGTATTGCTACTGCTATTGTCATTCAAATGGTATGTTTACGTTTCAACCTGTAGTGAAAATGCTACAGCAGTGAGCTTGGATTAAAGTATGTCTTTTCTGCCCCCAACTTAAATTTTTTTTTTCTAGTGGGATTAAGGAATTATTTTCAATGGTTCATTGAAAGTAATGTGTTGCGAACTAGGAGGTGGCATATTCAACAAGTGGTGAAACGGTTTGTTACCCCCTCCCGTGACTTATCATCCTTTTGACCAAATTTTAGAAATTTTTTTTTTTTTGAATAATAGAAAAACTATAATATTGGAGGTCTGTCCTCACCCAAAATTAGTGACCCACCAGTTTATCTGTTTTGGCAGTGCTGAGCTCACTATTCACATGTTTTGCAAAGACAAAATAGCTGAATTAATAATTGCTGCCTCAAAAAAAAAAAAACCACCTCGACTAACGGTCACTTCTCCACAATTGGCCACTTCTCTACAGCGGCTGCGTTCTTTTGTCCCTATAAAACTCACTTGAAGAAAGTCAACTGTTGTTTGAAGGGAGCTCAAACTCAGTGTCACAGAGCTCTAGGCTTCTATATTAATTGATTGGCCTGTCATTTTATGCCAACCCATAGAACATTAATTTGTTTTTCCAGAGTTGCTTTTCAACCTTGGTTGCTTTTAATTATTCAGTGTTCCATTTAGACGCATTAGTTTTGTGTGACAGTTTTCAAAAAAAGTTGCGTCTGATAGCGTAAGGCAAGTGGATCTTCGTATCTGGCAAGTATATTCTGTTCTTAACTTGCCTGTTGTGTAGATTATTGGGGAATTCAAATTACAGCTGAAGACTCTACTTGTAATTTTTTAGGCTAGCTGAAATAACTCTTGGGATAGTACATGTTCAACTGACTTTCTTTGCACCCTGTATGCTTGGTACAGAGTCGAAGTAAGATAAACATACTTAAATGGATGCGTTGAGTAAATTTGTCACCGAAACACAATGCCTAGGACATTTGCCAGAAGTGTAGGTAGTAACCCGTTTGCTCAGGCTAGTACATGTACAACAGACTTTCTTTGCACCCTGTTTGGTGCAGAGTCTAAGTAACATTATTAATAAACATTCTTACATGTAAGTGGATGCACCATAAATTTGTTGCTGAAACACAAAGCCCTAGGGTATTCCCAGAATTGTAGGTAGTAGCCTGTTTGCTTGGGCAACTCTTGTTCTGTCAAACCTCAACCACAAATTAGGTGATGTGTCAACAGCTATCAGCTGTACACTAGACTAAAGTGCATATGTCCCCAATAACCCACGAGTTCATGACTACTCTTGAAGGCAGGTTTTACAAGATTTCTTCTTACTGTTATAGTTATTTTGATTTTTACATTCAAGCAACATGCCATCTAGTAATGTGATCAGCATGCACTAAACAAAAAGAAACAAAGTTCAAACCTGGGTTGATGAACGTCTCTACAATTAGCAAGTTCAAATGTCCAACAAAGTCCAAAGATCTCCTTTAATTTAAGGGATCTGTTCATTCATGATGAAGTGCAAAGTATAAAAGGGATTAGCTTTAAAGTAGTCAGCATCTTGTCCCAGGACTTTTGCTTTGATGAGCAAGATTGATTACAGTTTTTCTGTAATTGAATTCTGCCAAAAACTATACTTGCCTATTGGGCAAGTTAAGAACAAAATTAACTAGCCTGATATAGCAAAATACACTAGTCCTCAGAATGCAAAGAAAGTCAGTTTTACAGCTTGCCATTCTGGCAAGCTGCAGCTAGCATGTATTAGCCGAAGAGTAGTTTTAATTGGCCTGAATTTTTTTTTTGATGAGCAGGATTCATTACAATTTTCTGAAAAAAATTCATTTGCCTGTTGGGCAAGTTATAACCTGAGATCAGGCTCTATTTTCGTTTCGCTTTGAAAATTACATTCCGGCGGGCAAGACACGGTAGCCGTTAGAGAGAATGTATGAGAACCACTCAAATTGGGCCTGATCTCAGGTTAGGCAAGTTAAGAACAGAGAATTCACTAGCCTTATAGCAAAATCCACTAGCCCCAAGCAATCGGACAATTGCAGGCCGTACAGGTCAAGTAAGTTGCATTTTTAAACAATGTTATAATAATATATATTAATTTTTATTATATTGTTTTGTATTCTACAGAGTTTACTTGTATTTATCACTGGGGCCTTCCTTATCTTAGCTTACTGTGCTGACAAACATGGATCTCAAAATTTTCAAGAAGTTATCCGAGAGGTTTTGGGACCAGGAGCATACATTGTTACACAGATTTTCGTACTTTTATACATGTTTGGTTCTACAATTGCTTATATGATTCTAATTGGTGACCAGCTGCAAAGTGGTATGTCAATCATCTTTCTCTTTTAATTACTTAAATATTTTTAATCAGTGTGTTTATAAAGCACTTGCCACTCAGTTTTTAATGGCATACTTGTGCATACCGTAAAATTCCGAAAATGAGCCCCAGGGCTTGTATTTTTCAAAGACCCTTTTCGAGGGGCTTATCTACGGAGGGAAATTTTAGTTTCAAAATATTATTGATTGGGCTAGCCTTATAGTTGGAAGTAAATTTACTGTTTTTGCTTTGTTTTACTTTGTATTTGAGGGCAGTTTTCCAAAATACAAGCCCCCAGGGGCTTATAATTGGAGGGGCGATTTAACGGAGGGTTTTTTGCGTTACGAGTTTGGGGGGCTTACATTTGGAGGGGCTTATACATGGAGGGGCTTATTTTCGGAATTTTACGGTATATTAACACCAAAAAGAGAGTTGATACAATATGACAGTCCTACATGCATAGCAGCTGTGTTTTGGATAGAACTGTTGATATTGTAGTCAAAAATAATGGTGTTACAAAAACTGTTTTGATGACAACTTCTCAAACAAATTGATTTCTAAGGATCAAGATATTGCTACTGCTATGCAAGCATTTGAAAATGAAGATTTTATTAACCGAATGTCACAATAGAGAGATTTAAAGTGACTTTTATGGCAAACGGCTTCATCAGATTCAAGTTGAGAAATTCTCAAAAATAGAAAAAATTAATGTGCAGCTAAAGTCAAACCTAACATGAAGCTACTCATTTGGGGATAGAAGTAATTAACAGTAAACCACATCAAGTAAAGGGAAAACTTGGTTGGGTTGGTACAAATTCACGTTTGCCATTTCACATAAACGTCACTTTAAATCTCTCTAATCAATCACATTTTAGGATTTCCTTTATGTTTATATTAGTTTTGTAATGTTGACAATAAGTGACAAATGTTTTGGTTATGTGATTTGAGTAGAGTTTCTTCTTAACCATCCTGAAATAATGAATATTGATTTTTGCCATATAGCAGTTAAAACTCAAATCCTATGATGGATCATCATTGTTCAGAAGGGAGTTCATTGCTCATCTCTGTCTTCTTTCCTTCTCTCTTCAGTTGGTAAAGCTATTGACAGTGAACCTCCTTGGTATCTAAGCCGAATTTTCCTCATGTGTGCTGTTTGTATCATATTTCTGTTACCATTATGTCTCCCAAAGACCTTAAAAGTTCTCAGTTATTCAAGGTATGCAGAACCCAATGTCAGTACAACAATGGAAAAAATAAATTATGTAAATAAAATGTACGAGAGACACCATTACATTTCTTTCATTGCTAAAAATGTACTTTAAGCCAGCCAGCTATTCTCCGATAGTAATGCATAACTTATTAGGACGTCAATGACAGGAAGCAAGATCATGTTATTTATTTACCTTACTACCAGCTTCTCTGGACACAGGCCTACCCAGAGGGAATGTGCACGAACAGGACTCAGGTCCCATGCAAGGTGCCATCCATACCCAATCCCACAACCTGTAAAGGTTGACCACACCACCAGGGTCTACGACCCCTACTCTTTTTGAATAGTGATATGCGTTCTTTTACATCCCACAAGAACAAATCATGGTTTTTTGTCCCTACCCGAGAAGACTAGAAAGTGTTAACCATTTGCAGATGTCATTACAAAGGCGGCACATTTTTCTCAGTTATTTAAAAACCCTCTGTGTTGGTCCGGCTGGGGTTTTAACCTGCGACCTCCCACGCAGCAGACTGGCACTCTCCCAACCAAGCTAACTAGGCAGCAATTAATTATTAACTTTAAAATAGAATATAATTGCAATAATTATTGTATTATTTTTGGTAGACACTAGTTTGCTGGTCAAGAATCCTTTTTCTGAGACCTTTCATTTCTGATACACTTCTCTTCGAAAATAAGTACATCGTCACAGATTGATTTATCACACTGAAATCACTGAAAATGCCGTCATCATCATTGTCATCATCATCTGTTTCTGCACCACAAAACACTAGTCTTCTTGGAGAAAATACTGTACATGAACTTATTAGAGGTGCATGAGAAAAAATAAGTTTGGGCACTCGCATTCCTGGGATCTCAAAGCCAGTAAATTAAAAAGCTCTCAGGTTTACTTCATTAATTATTATGATAAAACAATCTATAAAGGTCACTTTAGTTTTTGTAAAACCTTTAAAAATTTGTCTTAAAAAATGTTGTGCGACTATGATGTCACACTAGCCTCCCACGCAGGCGTTTTTAGGGGAGCTCCTTTTTCATCCCTCCCCACAAACGCCTGCTCAACCGAAGACAACATTCCTTTCCCATGCTTAGCCAATCACATTGTACTTTCCAAATTCTGGAAAGTTGACCTTGACCGCAAGGTAATCTGATAATTACTTGATCTGCATGAAACACTGGAAAATTTTCTAACCTCCAATAAGTGTTAGATTCAGAGCGGCAAAAATAAGATTTGATCAAATTTTAGAATACTCCATGCACTTCATAACCTTAACGAAGGAAAGTAAAGAAGGAAAACGGTAACTGTAGGGTCACGTTTTAGTCACGTTTAGCCTGTCAACACTTTATTGCACAACTGTTTATTGGTCACTTACCACGCAAATAAAACAATGGGAAAGGAATGTTGTTTCCGGCTGAGCAGGCGTTTGTGGGGAGGGATGACAAACGAGCTCCCCTAAAAACGCCTGCGTGGGAGGCTAAAGTCACACATGCACACTGCGTGTACATTGTAAGAAAGTTCATCATTTAAAGTACACAAGTACCATGTGCAGTATTAATTTAGAATTAATATGCCTGTTTTTCTTTCTTTCTTTCTTCCTTTTTTTAGTGCCCTTGGAACAATTGGAGCTATTTTCATTTGCGTAGTAACCGCCACAAAGTATTTTCAGGGAAATTATACTGTTAAAACAGAGTTTGTTCAGTAAGTGCTTTTGACTAAAATGCTAATTAACACAAACACACACTGTATGTTCAGTATATTGCACACCATTGCATAGGGAAAAGCTCTTAGTCCTTCGGTGTGATTAACTTGTACAGTTTCAGATTTTATAGTACAGTTGTAGATTTGAAAAGTACAATGTAGAAGGCAGTTCATCTCATAAAAATGGAAAATAATCTTCTTTTTTTTTCGGGCAGAGGGTGGGGGTGGGGTGGTTTTTACTGCTTTCAAGCATAAGTTTGTCAGACTGACTCATTCTAACCACTTAATCTTAAGAGGACAGAGGTCAGACATGATGCCTGGACGTAATTAAATACAGTCAAACTCCGATTTACAGACACCCACTTAATATGGACACCTTATTATTATGGACAGTTTACTTTGTCCTGGGGAAGAGAAAGCCCTTACATTTTTTCTAAATTCAACCCGCTCAATATGGACACCTTGTTAATGTGGACACTTTCTATGACCCCCTCAGTGTCCATATTAGTGGGGTAAGGCTGTACTATCATTAATTTTTGAAGCTGTATTTTTACATAAATAAAAGTCAATATGTTAATGTGTCCCTCCCTTCTGCCCAACTGAAATGGTGACCTGGTTTGACAACTCCAGTTTACGGAAGAAAGTTATTTGAAACCCTATTATCCAGCGAAAACAGCTGACGTTTCATCATGCCTGGTTTCCCCACAAAATGATGTCTGTGCAATGACTACTGAAATTTCATACTGATGATTTAATATCAACTTTGCACCTGTGCGCATACCTCTAATCAGTGTACTGTTGTTGCTGTATTGTAGAGTGAAGTTACCATGGACAGAAGCTTTTAGTGCTGTGCCAATTATTTGCTTTGGTTTTCAGGTTTGCACTAGTCTTGCTATTTATAACCATAAGACTTTTTTGTTCACAGGAAAACAACTACAGCTGTACACTGTAGACTTTTAAACACCTGCCAGCAAGTTGTACCTGAAAATTTGTGGTGGCTTATCTGCAAGAAATAATATTATTTTCTAACTTTCCATGAATCAACCCAAAACATCAGGCCAAAATTTAATTTTCACCAAGCAAGCAAATGACACGCTATCTTTAAGTAATCTTGTCTGCTGTTTCTCAGAGCATGACTTTGACAGCAAATATATGTGAATCAAAAAATAAATCTCAACCTACATTTTATCTTCAACATTACATATCACATCAGTTCTGTGAGTAGAGCTTGCGTTGAAGTTAGTTAACCATGTATTTGATGGCTCTGTGATGTTGCGTTTTTGTGTCAAACATATTACATCATGTTTACAACAAATATAAAATCATGCAGATAATTTATGATAATTATTTTCTTCCAGTGTCATGTACCATCAATAGCTGTTTATGCAGAACTCAAGAGAGCAAGTGTGCCCAGATTTGGAATAGTCGTTGTCATTGCCATGGCAATTTGTGCTGCGGCTTATGCCATCACAGGATCTTTTGGCTACCTTACCTTTGGCACCAAAGTTAAAAGTGATGTTCTGCTAAATTATCACCCTAACGATGTTTTGGTGAATTGTGCAAGGGTGACATTATCAATAATAGTCTTATCCACTGGTGCTGTGGTTGTTTTCTGTGGAAGGTATAGTGTAGCACTATATTAAGAACCACAAATTTTACTTTTTATTTTATTTTTATTTTTTATCATTATTATTTTTTTTTTCTGGAAAGGTCTCTGAACTCCCCCAATGAATTAGGGACAGTCTCCCCCTCACACAGATGTGTGGTGTGAAAGAGCAAGAGCTCTTTGTGAATTCATGCAGTCCTCGCAATGAAATTTATTGGTCAGACATGTCCTATTTGCTAAAACTAAGAACTAGCTGAAAATATTAAATGTTAAAACCGTGAAACCAAAAACCACTTTATGATGACTGCTTTAATAATAATTTATTATACTAATTCAAGGACAAAGACAGACCAGAGGACAGACAGGGAGCAGTATACAAGATCAAATGCTGCGACTGCCAGGCCACTTTATAATGTACATCGGTGAGACTGGCAGAAACCTTAGCACACAACTGACTGAACGCAAACTAGCGACAAGAAATGGTGATGTCAACAATCACATTGCTGAACACCATTTACAAACAAAACATCAAATCGACTGGGACACCGTGACATGCAGAACATATTCTACAGAATACTATCAACGACTCACCTTAGAAAGCTGGTTTACTAACTTAGAACAAACGCCTCTGAATCACAGTCCACAATTACCATGAAGCACCATACAAACGACTTATTGACACACTCAAACAAAACTGACAATGGTAGAGTTCCTGATAACCGACAATTTGACTAACAATAAAATGATCAAGACGACTGTTCAGCTGTGACAAAAAGACGGATCAAAACACACTATTGATATTTGAGAGTCTTCATAGCCAATAACATCACGGCTTAACTGACAGACGACCAATAACATCGCAACTTAATTTGACCAATGAGGTCAATAACCAGAGTTTGATACCATCAACTGACGTGATATAACTCACTTTGACTGTGAAGATGACTACCGCACAGGTTGTCGAAACATCAGTCACTGTCAACAACTGCATGCCCTATTCAGGACTACATTCAACCGCATGATCATTCTCAACCTACTGGGTACTTAATATTAATTTAAAGTTAGGAGTTTTATGCAGTATGAAAAAAAACCTTAATTTTCTTTTTGTACTTCTACTGTGGTTATCCCAAAAATTATACATTTAATTCTTCATCCAGCAGTTCTGGTAAACGTTTTTGAATTTCAGTTGTGTATTCATTATCATCTAACACAGCATTATACATGTAAGACAATTAATATTGTCTCCTGCCTGTAGCCTACTAGCTTTTAGAAACTAAGACACTTGACCTTAACTTTCATTAGGTATTGCAGGAAGAGTATAATATTATAAAATATGCTAATCACTGTAATGCATTTCATGACTGTTTTGTAGGAGCTGCCTGGAGGGCTTGTATCTATCATTCTTTAGGATGCCTCCTGCATTAGCTGAAGTACATGAAAGACAACGAAGGATCATACAGACAATAGTGTGGTTTAGTCTTTCCCTCATTGTTTCTGTATTTGTTAAAGACATAGGATATGCTGTAGCCCTCATCGGGGGATTAGCTGCACTCTTTATCTTTTTCTTTCCAGGTAGGTTGTCAGAAATTAACCCTTTAAGCCCCAGTATCCACATACAAGTTCTCCAAACTGATCTCCATACATTTCCTTAAAGAATGAGTCGAGAGAATTTGACAAAAGATCAAGGCATTTTTTCTTGGGTGATCACTTTATTAATTCTTATAACTTATCTGTTGACAGTGTGTGGTTATTGTTAGGAGAAAATTGATCTTGGTCACTACTGGCACCTAAAGGGTTAAGCCCCGTGCAAATGGACACAACATTGTTGGATGTTACATGTTGTGTCCATTTGCTCATGCTGTTGTATGTTGTTGCATGTTGTTGGGAAGAAACTTGTCAAACATTTGAGCCATTGACTCCCAACATTTCAATAAATTTAATATTATTATTGCACATTTTATGTATACATATGGTTGACAAAGTCTTATGGGTTGTATCCTTCCCGTGGTGCACTGCAGGTCACAACATTGTTTGGTTACTTTCGTAGGACACAAAAGCAAAATAGAGCCAAAAGGTCCTCCTAGTTGTTGAAACCTTACCTAACTGAAAATGTTTCTGAGAGCCCTGCTTATGAGATCCCATGAAATTTTTCAACTTCCTTGTAAAAAGAAATTTTATTAGTTAAATCTTTATTACCATACATACATGAAATTGCCCATGAAATTACTCATGAATTTCTTTCACTCAGACTGCAACCCACACTGTATGTAGCTAGCAATCTTTCGTTAATACTATGACACAATGTTATTTGCAGTAGTAAAAAGCTAAATCTGGTAAATTTGATACCAACAAGTATGCCGCTGACAATATTTCTTCTGACAAATGCACAACCATGCTTGCAAAGAATTTGTTCCCATCTATTTGATTTCTGATGTAATAACAAGTTGATGAAAATTTGTTCCTATTTATATTCACAACTAAGAGACGGGAATGGGTGTGCAGCTTGAACTGTGGAGCCTGAGTGTTTGATGCCATCCAAATAACATACAAAGTTCAACATCATAACTAAAGAATGGTATACAAATATTCCTAAATAAAGTCACTCGAGGCTGAATTATTCATGTACGCCACCTGATACGAAAACCCAATGGGAAAAAATTGGGACGTGTTCCCTAACTGATGCAGTCGCACAACCTCTGGGGGTTAAAGGAAAAAATCAATTGATAGATGAATAAAGTAAGATATAAAAATAAAAGTCGATAGTTTGAGAGCTGAGATGAATACATTACAACTGTCAAAACCTTATATACCTAATAACAATAGAGTAAATTAATACCATAGCAGCTCACGTGTGTTCATACCAATAGGAAAGTATTTACATTCTCTGTCACTGCCACTAGATTTAGCTCCGCCAAATGTAAATACATTTCCTAGGAGCATTCACTTGAAAATTAAACTCCTGCATTTTTTTATTCCTAGGAATCTGTCTTGTGCAGGAGATGCTCCAATATCCTGTTCTGTCCACCACCAAGAAGCTCCTGATAGCCCTCGGTCTTTTCTATGTGGTCTTGGGAGTGTTCATATTTGCTGACTCTGAAGTTTTTGCAATAATGAAGGATATCACAGGAAAAGGGTTGTACTGATCATGAGACGGATTGTAAGAACAGCATTCTCAACTGTATTCAAGTCCACCAGCAGATAACTGGGTTTTTCATGAGTTTTATGTGACACGTCCAGCCTGGCACCTACTCGTGTATGCTGTGCCTGATCTCTACATTGCCAGGACCTAATGCCGATAAAAACTTAAATTTCTTTAGTAACCTCTTCTTTGATAATTAGCCTTCTATTTTTGACAACGGGTTGAGCACTAATTCTCTTTTCCTTGTGAACAGGATGCTGTACATGTACATCTAAGCTTTTTAAAATATGTAATAACAATATTACATGTTTTAAAAAGCTGAGATGTACAATAATAAGCAATCAGAATGACTTTGTCCATTAAGCTACTGCATTTGAAGGTTCAGGTTATATCCTACTGGTTCAGAATCATGGTTCCGTTACTGTATTTATAATTTTTTTTTTGTGGGCTATATTGCATACAATTGATATTATTCATTAATCAAGTACATACTACTCTCACTCTCTTTCATTCTTATTTTAATTTGATACTCAATATGGGTGGACAGTCAAAATCCATCTTGAATTTACTTAGTATATAGTTGTCACTTTTCTATTTTTTATTCAGAGACATACATTTATTGAAATTCCCAATGACATTCTGGACCTGAGTAGTCTCCTTCACAGCCGTTTTTAGTCTCGTCACGCAACGCTCCTTCCCACAAAAGTCTTTTTGCTGCAATTTGATTGGTTCAATTTCAAACAATGATTGTGATAATTATGATTGGTCAATCGCCTGTACCGACAAACAAAGGGAAAGGAATGTGGTTCAAAAGAAAGTAGCCATTTGTGGTGATGCGTGACGAACCTAAAAACGGCTGCAAAGGAGACTAGGACCTGAGGGCCTTTATTCACTTACCCCGATCCTGCCCCTCATATTGTAATAAGACAGTGGTCTTAATCTTATAAAATAGTTGAATTTAATCCAACTTGATTACTAGCGATTGTATGTCTACATAGGCATATCATGACAGTGGTGGATCCAGGAGAGGGGCCCAGGTGGCCAACCCCCACCCCTTTTTTTCGACCAAAATGAGGCCCAAAGGGCCAAAACATTTTTGTTTTGAGACCCCCCCCGCTTCCCTATCTGAAGTTCTGGATCTACCACTGCATGAGCAACAACCTCAGGGCCAAAGCACAAATATTTATTAATTACTTGAAGCTTAAATATAAGGGTACCATGAAAGATTCAACTGATCAACCTTTTTTTTCTATTAGACTCTCAAAAGATTACAAGTATTCAGTAGTATAACCTTGTTAGAATTGATGGTTGACACAAATTTTGAAATACGGTAGAGCTCTGTTAACTTGAACTCTGAAGGGACACGAAAAACAGTTTGAGTGATTGAGGGTTCGAGTTGACGGGGTGGATTGCAAAATTCAAAATTGATAGTTATAACTATCACTATCAATTTTTGATAACTGACTTTTCAGCTCTTCAGTGTATAGTGCAGTGCAAATTTAACTTATTTCATCAGAAATGGTAACATGCCTTTAGGCATTTTTGTGATAAAACGTGATCTGTTCGTTACTCCAGTGTTAGTCTTAGTGTTTTTACCAGTTATACAAAAAGGGCTAGAAGAGCTAATGGGATGGCATCCGAGTAGAGTTGCAAGATCTAGATTTCAAGTTATCGGGGTAAATTTCAGTGAAGTTTTGTTAGGGAAATGAAATTTAGTTTGAGTTAGCAGGAAGTTCGAGTTATCCGAGTTTGAGTTATCAGGGTTCTACTGTATTAGGAATTTTGCCGTAGGCCTTAAATACCATTACATACCAGTACAGTATACATCACACCATGTTACATAATACAGATTCCAGAATCCAGAAAATTTCATTTCTGGGATCCGGAATCCCTCTGCTTTAGAATCTGGGATTCTGCTCAAGGAATCCAGAATCCAAGTTCCACCGACAAGGACACAAATCCAGAATCCAGTACCCCAGAATCCACAGCGTGGAGTTCAGAATTCAAGCCTGTCTTGGATTGCCTTAAATGTAAATTGTATGGATAAGGGTCGGGGAAATAATAAATTATTAATAATATTGTTGAATTGATATCAAGACTTAAACCTTTGACTCAACATTACTTTGACAGTGCTGTTGCTGGGGCTCTTACGAATAATTATGTAGAAAAACTATTCTGTTATTTATTTATTTTGGGGACTATACAACGTAGACAACCGCAGATCAAAACAAGGGGATTACTAGTCAGAGTTACAGGTCACGTATATTATAAACTGTAATAACGAATCAGATAAATCTGTTATTCTATACGTTTTGTACTCTCAACTGAATTTATCAATGTAGCTGCTAAGAGTTTCAAGGGTGAGTGAGTTAAGTATTAGTTAGGGGCCAACCATTTAACTTTTGAGAAGTACTGTAGGGGCGAGGTGAGCGTTAACTATAGGCAAAATTTTTTTCACGTCCAAATATAACACTGTTAGCTTATTGTATGACTTGTTTTCATTCCAGGTCTCATAATATATTTTTAAAAGGTCACCCAACCCCTACTCTGGATCCAGAGGTCCATTCTCTAAATACCAGGCTAAGTAGGATAACCATGAACTATCAGTAATGAGGCAAGGAAAAATCAATCTGTGGCACCAGCATAGTGAGAGTACCCATCCCCACCCCCTCAAAGTTAAATGGTCAGTTTTTCAGAATGTGCCCTGTTAATTAGTGACAAAAATCTCCTTAGTTATCTTAAAAAAATTATCTTTGCTTAATTAGGCTTCAAGGTCAAGAAAATAATAGAAAATTATAGGGAATCATGACCAAAAATAAAATCTTGATTTGTAAAGAAATCAGTGCCATAAGAAATTATGAGGATCAGGACTAAAAGAGTTAAAAAAGAAATTATTTCTGTATCAGTAATACATGTTAGATGCTTTTCCCGTGGAAGGAGTTGAAAGTTATGATGGGCAGGTGATGTCTGACAAGCTTTACTTTTAAAAGGAAGTAACATGACCTAGCAGACTTAAGGGTTTTTGTGAGGGATAGGAGGACATAAAACCATTGGAAATGACAGTTGTGGGGATCTTCTCTAGAATGCATCAAATGATTGTTTTGTGGGAAGAAAACTTAACTCCACAGAATTCTGATTTCTCAAATCCTCAGTTTGTTGCAACTCTCTATGATAATTATTTCAACCCAAACTGATGTCAGTTCAACAAAACTTCAGCCAGCGTGATTTACAAGTGTGGCTATTATTTTTGTCCAGTCTCTAAAACAATTAATGGCCAAACTTGTGATTTTTAATTAAGGTTTATTGAATTAACCCGTTTCCTTTTCCAAGTCAAACTCTGTAATTTTACACCCAATATAATGAATGTCGTTATGAAACTCCATGAATCAACTCTCCATGAATCCCTCTGAGGTTCCGAAAATCAGAATTCTGCTTTACTTACCAAAGGATAATTATGAAGAAACATTAGTTGCACATTTAACATAATGACTAATTATTGAAGTTCATGTGGAAAATATAAGATTCAAAGAATATTTCACTACAACCTAGAATTTTGATAGCAACAATCTTTGTGACTGAGACAGACACAAATAAATAAAGCAATACAAAATTTAAGAAAAATGCACAAATGCCATTGTGGCAAAGTATTTTTATACCTTGGGTGACATGAAAAAGTAAATTAATCACTTTCAATTGTTTGTTTTAATAAAGACACAATATTGATGAAACCTCTGTAGTATGAGTATTTTTTTAAGAAAATGTATTTGAAATACTTAAAATAAGTATATGATGTTAATTCAGGGCCTTTGCTGCAGGCACCTTCTGTCTCGACTCCTTCCTGCGTTCACCTTGCACTATATAAAAAGTAACCAAAAACACTAGCAGGCGCCTAGAACTAGCAAAACACCATGGGTGTCTGACCTTGAATACCTTAATCCCTCTATATTTCCGCTTGTGAAGATTTGTTATTGATTTAGTATTTATCTTACATACACTAAAGTATTTTTTTTGTCCAGCTGTATTAACCCTCTCAAACCCATGCGCAGCAGGGCTTAACTTTTCGAGAACTCTATACTTTGAACAGGTTTCTGCGATGGAACCAGAGGTAATTTTTATTACAAACAATAACCCACTGTTCAACTGAATTGGGAACAATAATGACCTGCTGGTCATAGAACAATAATGCCCTCACTCGTTGGCCCTCTATCACTTGAGCAAGTTTTAAATCAAGCAAAATTAAGGTGGCTGAACACAGTTTTGCGGGCGGTCAGCGGTAACTCACTTGACCATGCGTGTTTTTAATTAGACAAACAAACATGGCGGCGAAAAAGCAATGGTACACAGAAGACGATTTCTCAAAATCTACTCATTAAAATTTTGTGATATTTGGCAGAATTTTTACTTTTATCGTATTTTAGATAATGAAAGCTTTAAAATGGAGGTTGAACAGACGAATTTCGTGACACATTTAATAATTACGATACAATTATATTACTGATTATCTAAAAGTCCGTCTGTTAAAATTTGATCAAATAAGTTTCAAATGGTAATGATTAGTTACAGTAAGCTGTGTGCAAGATTATAGGAAAATCTAATGAGTGAATTTTATGTAAACTGAGCAAAAGTGAAATTTTAAGGTTGTATTCAATCGTTCATGTTGCCATGGAAACTACAAAAACGTCAAATTTTACCTGTCAATCAAAATCTTTCATTAGTATTTTTCCCACCTGCCAAGTTTCAGCTTGTGAGCTGCAACCTTTCTCTTTTCATGATTTGGCAAATGACATAGACTCACAAACTGCCAAAACTGTGTCCAGCCACCTTAATGATATTTTGAATTATAAAAATTGATTCAGGTCATTCTTGAGTAAGTGATAGCTAACACATTAAGGGGTAAAATCTTGGAAGTGGCCCTCTAAACATAATTCAAAATGCATTTGATCCTGAAGAGGCCACCTGTTAAGCAGTCTTCCTCTATTAAGTGGCCAGTAATCAAAGTCCCGAAGTCATAAAAAATTGTAGGAAAGAATGGGAAATTAAACCTCTCTTACAGCTGTTTCGGATAACAAGCAACCTGTGTTGTCAAAAACAGGATTTTGGGGGGGTTTTTTGGATATCCGTCAAACCACTAACATGGCATCCAATCCTTGCTTGTCAACTAAAGGTAGCAATAATGAGCAGAAGCTCCCGTATCCGTGTTTCTTCTGGATTTGGAAGCTCTATAGGAACAATTTCCCATTGGGAATGTAAACTTGCCATGTTTCAGTAAGAAAGCAAAAAAACTTGAGAGCTAAAATGAGAAAACACGCGAGAGCTGAAGTTCCAAAGCAATGAACCTTGAAACAAGCCTTCAGATTTTGATTGATGTAGCAGAAAAACCCAAAATCCAAAGACGTTTTTGACATCGCAGGTCATGTGTTATTCGAAACAGCTGTAAGCAGCCATGGCCATCCCAATGAGAGTTCTCCCATTGCTGTCACCTCTTAAGCAGCCATCAAGAGTTCAATACACGTAGTTTGGCTTAATTTTAAGAACATCATGAAGGAAAATACAGTCTGAGATAGAAGGTGAGCATGACAACCGATTGAGCATCAGTCATACTGCTCTTGTCACATACGTGTTTCAAAATAAAGTGGTGTTTGTACTAAAGATTATGCAAATTTCTAAGGAACCTCTAATGAGTGGCCCACTTCTGTTATGAGGCCACTTACCAGTACCCCAAAGGTTGCCACTTAATGAAGGTTCCAGCTACTGTACTATGTTTATTTGCTGGTAAATCAGTCAAGTCTTTCTCTTGTGTGAATCAAGCCCATGATGGCCATAAGACATTGATAACATTTCAACACTGAGAAATTTCTAAGTTCACAAGAAGAACCGCTATAACAGGGGCATAGCGTGAAATTTTGAAGGTGTAAGCATGGGAAGAAAAGTAAGACAGCCGAAAGCACTCCAAAAAGAGGGGGTCTGGGGGCAAGCTACTTCGGAAAATTTTTTAAATTTAAGGGGCATGAAAATGTCATTTCCTACGTTTTCCACGGGACATTTTCACTATTAAAAATAAGGAAGGAAAATGGAAGTTAGTTGTTTGTTTTACCCATCTCTGGTGTTATCGGTAAGGTAAAGTTAGCTGACTGTGTTAACGGAGAAAAAGGATAAAAAGTGGCACCATCAACGAGGTTACAAGCAAAGTGCAAGACATCTACCTTTAAAACGGGCAAAAACACCAATATGATGCAAAAAATTTACTTTTGTACATTATGCTACCATTTTTTCGAGCATTTTAGTGAGGCAACAGCATTGAGCATTATTCGAGCATTTTAGTGGCATTTTCCCCGGAAAATTAATTTTTCCGAGAAAATAAAATAGAAATTAACTTTTTTCGGGAGTCCATGCCCCACGAGCTCCTGCTTTTTTAAAGAAAATGAAGACCAAAACTCAAAATTCACAAAAAAACCTAATACAGCTGGTTTTTTTGGCTGTATTTATGAACTTGTACACGTTGTCGTTGTTACTTGCAACACTTGCACGTTTTTGTAAGCGTAAACTTTGAAATTAATTTAAAAAAACGTTTGTCAGTAATGAGCATTATCCGAGCATTTTAGTGACTTTTTTGGGGAGACCGAGCATTTTAGTGGGAAAAATGGAGCATTAAGGTGGAGCATTTTAGTGGGGAAGCAAAAGCATAATGTACAAAAGCCTATCAGCACATCCAGGTTTTTTTGAGCCCTGGAGCCCATTATTTTCTCAAAAGTCCCATAACTTTTTGTGACTTTTGAGAAACGGGACCCAGGTAATACTTCTTGAACTGATGCAGAGTGGCACAATGGGCTAGGCATGCATTCTAACTTGATAAAGTGACTGTACATGTACATTGTATTTAAGTGTCTTCCTCTCTTATGTTACTACATTATTTTGATAAATAAATTTTAATGCATGCCAGGTTCTTTCTATCTGGAGTGATTTGACTAAGAAATGAAGTAATTGCTGAGAAATGGTGGTGATTTTTGAGATAAGGCCATGATGTATCACTTGCATTGCAAGAATATCTCTTAAATAATGCACATCCATAAAAAAAGGTTTCCACTGCTGATAAGGTGAGGGGACCAGCCTATATTCCTATATCAATGAGTCACTTTGAAAATCATGCTAACTGTAGCAACTACTAAAATTATTACACAACTTTTAACATCTTTACAATGCCATTGTTGTTCCTATCAGGTGAGTTTCCACTTCATTTCAGCACACACTTTTATAAAACTGTGGCATTCCCCTGAGTCTTAATGAAGTGTAGTAAAAAACCATGGGATATGAAGGCTTTCCGGCTACTCCACTGGCAAAAATCATTCAAGCACAGATCTTTTGCGTTTTTTGTGGTTTACCACAGTGTCTGAAGTTGTAAGCTTTGAAGTGTTGCCAGCTTCCCACTGAAGAAATTCACGTATGCCCTTACGGCCAGCAGAGAAAACTTGCCTTTCAACATGATCCAGTTTCCCTGTGAGGAGTGATGCATCTTCATTTGCAGCATTTTGAGATGAATCCATGATTTTTCTAAACCTCTTGATAAAAGTCTGTAAGAATGGAGGAAAAAAACGTTTTCACATTAAAATACAATAAATAAAAATATTAACTTTTGCTACAAATACGGTAAAGAACTGGGTAATAAAAGAGACAAAAATGTATAACAATGTAACTCTTTACATAATTGATGGAGTAGGCCAAAACACAACGAAATTTGGAACGAGAATATATAAACTACTCTGAAGGCATGCTCCCTTTTTTCAATTACAAGCTGTTAATTGGTGGCTTCTCCAAGCTACAACAATGCCTCACAGGATTGATTGAGAAAATAAACAACAGACAAAGTTAAAATTAGGGACTTTAAGATTCATTGACGTGATGGCAATGAGAACATCGCTTAAAAAGTGAATTTGCATTCTTTCAGCTACCTATTGTTTTTTTGACGTTCTCATTCCTGTCCGTGTCGTTGGATCTTTAAGTCCCTATTGAACCTTGCCCCACGACAAAATGGGTGATAAATATAGTGGTCCAATCAATTTGAGGTTTTGAATAGGGGCAAGGCTAATTGTGTAATCTTATGGTACTTCTTAAATGGATGTTTAAAGTTGAACAGTTGGTCATAATAAGTAGGCAATCTGATAAAACCAAATAACAGACCAGCCATCCCACTTTCCTTGCCAGTGAATGCACAATGAAATAAGGTTGAGGATCAGGTGGTCAATTTCTTAAAAATTACTCAACCCATGCCACAAATTGGTGTCTTTGTTCACTAGGGATGTTGGAACATCCACTCTGCCGTGATCAGCAGACTGTTGACCCTTTAATGCCTTGAGTCCCAAGAGTGACCAAAATCAATTTTATTCAAGCACTATCTATACAAAATCACTAAAGGCAAAAGGCTTTGATCTTTTATCATATTCTCTCAGCTAATTATTCCTTAAGGAAATGCATCGAGATCAGTGTGAAGAATTTGCATGTCGTGGATATTCGGACTTGAAAGGTCAATTACCGAGCATAACTACAACCCATGTACAGTTGAATCCTGATAACTTGAACACTCGCTAACTCAAACCATGCACTAACTCAAACCAAAGTCGATTTCCCCGGGATTTCCTTCATACATTTACCATAATTTTCCCCTCAGTAACTCGAACATTCCACTGACTCGGGAGTTACCCTCACAGGAAAAAAAGTATCTGCAAAAGCACATAACTGGGTAGGGGTTTGAACAATGACAGTACCAGTGTGAGTACCCCTTTACCCCCACCCGTGACTAGCATGGGTCCCATACAGCATGGCAGACTCCTGTAGCGATAAGGGTGATTGTAAGAGGTACCAAGATTTTCCGCACAATACTCCCACTACCGTTATACCCTAGGGCTACCAATGTTACTTCCTATATATGGACCCCCCTCCCTTCAAACCCCTAGCTCTCAATGCCTACCTCTTGCATACATGAGGCCATTTGAGAATTTTCTTCAAAATCAAAATGCAAAAGTTTTGTTCCAAACTCGTAGAAATATGGTCCTAGTCTATGCAGATCTACGACACTTGCATCTGCTTTGAAAATTTCTCTATACCCGTCCTTGTAAGCTTTAGGAATATCCACTGAAACGATCTTTCTTCGTCGGTTACAAAGTTCTTTTGCTAGCCAGAGAGGTAGTTCGAGTTTTGCTCCAGATTGCAAATCATTTCCTTCTGAGCTGGGATCCAAGAAGCCAAGGTTATAAATCTGCACTTCTAGTTTAGCAGGAACTCTTCCTTGGGTGGCTATAGTGTCATCGAGATCAAAATAATCGAGCTCAGAAGTTGGATGAGGTCGAAGAGCAGCGCCACTGGCAGCCATATTGAATCCTTAAACTCTCCTCAATGTACTCTCTTTGACAGCTTGACATGGAAATAAGCTTTGAATTAAAGATTTAGGAGTTACTTAAGCAGTCAAATAGCTACTCCAGAGGAGTCAATGATGACATCAAAACGAAAAAAATCAGTAAAAAATTCTCTGAAACTTTTCAGATAATCTTTTGGGCGCCAAAATATTTTTACTAGTGCCAGTCCGTAACGGTACAAATTACCCAGCATTCCTTGCTAATTCTTTCTTTCTTTTCCACGTTTGTCTTCGGAGAAAGCATCGCATTTCGTCTTTTTTGGAAGAAATATGGATACTTTCACCAACATAAAAAACATCTTGGTTAAATTCTACGATGAATACACCCAGACGACCCCAAAGAAGCTCAAGATAGTGGATGCATATCTGTTTTATATCATGTTAACGGGAATTATCCAGTTCGTGTATTGTTGTCTTGTTGGGACCTTTCCATTCAACTCATTCCTGTCCGGTTTCATCTCGTGCGTTGGATCATTTGTCTTAGGAGGTAATGATTATTGATTATTAATATTTTTCTTTTACTTTATTTTTCTAACGGCGCGTTTAGAAAATCTGAGCGTTGCAACCTGAGCGTGTGACACGTAGATTGTTAATGTCGCGACACCTGGTGTGTGCTTAAATGAAACGTAATACTAAGCTGTTAAAAAAGGGCAAAAATATATTGATTTTATCGTCATCAGAAGTAATAGATAAAAGTGATTTCAATGTAAGATTAAGTCTTGAAAATGGCTGGAAATTTTTGTGCCCAAAATTTCATTTGTAGCTTAGCATTCACAAAGGAAGTATCCTTGAGAATTGATTTTGAAAATCTCAGGCATCCTAAGAGGGTATGGACTTATGATTTTAAAGGAGCCGTTGAAAGAATAAGCTTTAGAAACAACGTTCTTTATCTTAACATGTAAACATCTTGTCTTGATTTGACCACTCTGCTGATTCCCTGCCTTTTTGATGCTTGAAGTGATACTTACTTACTTACTTTGTACATGTAGGAAAGTTATGTTTTTTTTTTGGCTGAACTCTGGGATCTGGGGTGAGCAGGCTTTGCTCATACTTAGTTACTTTCTGTATTTAAAGCTGTTGTGGTTTTTTATTTCAGTTTGTCTTCGAGTGCAGTCCAACCCTGCAAACCTTTCAGATTTCAAGGGTATTTCACCAGAGAGGGCATTTGCTGATTTTATCTTCGCTAGTGTCATCCTTCATCTAGTTGTGATGAATTTCATTGGCTGAAGAAACCAAAGTGGATTACAAACTGTTAATATTGTTTTAGCAGATAAGAAAGAACTTGTAGACTTTTTAACAAGTACTGTCACATGGTATTCAGAATATCTAGAATTAAATGGGATCCATGTTTGTATTAAATACCCAATTTTCCTTAAATAGGTTGTACGTCCAGTTATTAGACCTTTCCTGTGGGGTATTGCACCTCATGAATCTCAAAAAAATTCCAAGGAAAATCTTCTTTCCACTACCCACCTGCACAGTAAAAACGCTGTGACAAAAGCTTAGAGTGGATGTTGCTCTCTCCAGGTTATGTGCTCCTGCGAAAACTCAAAAGCTAATGATAATTATGTATCTAGAACGAAAGTCCTTTAACTGCTTGCCTCAAAAACTATGTTTTGGGCAGTTTTGCCTCTCTAGCCAGACTATTGACCAGAAAACAGTTCGACTCTCTTCAAAATGCTGTTTTCTTTTTCTTTCTTTTTTAGAGAGGTGGACGGGGGGGTGGTTGTATGGGTTCCTAACAATTTTATTTTTCTAACCCCCAAAAAATGCCTTTTGAAAAATTATTTTGGCAGTAACAGAAAGATCCATAAGGTTCATTCCCAATCCCTACTCCCTTTTTATCGGAAGCATAATTAATGGTCACTAAGGGTGCTGGGAAGAATGAAGCAACAATAGCTGAGAGCAGGCTCCGCAGTGGGAAAAAGAAAATGGTAAAAAAAATTCCCCCACTCCACCAATCGGCTCTTTTCGCTCGCCGATTTTGTTTTAATTTAATTACTTTGAGTTTAGTATTTATTTATTATTTATTTGCTCTATTGTCCCTTCAATTTAATCCCTTGCACAGACACTACAATAATATAGCTATTTTTTTGTTCTGGCCTGCAGATAGGAATTTTTACCTAGAATCGTCAATTGTGACTATGACATTGAGGATGAGTTCAATGAGTCATTAGTTGATAATGTTAGAAACCTCAATTATTATTTTTTTTTTTTACATCTTAACATATGTAGCCTTGCCGGTGATTTTGGTAGATTGCTTATATTCGTAACTCACTTTTGGCAAATGTTCATTTAAAGTCCTCTTGTATTAGCGTATCTGAAACCTGGCTGCAAAATTCTTTCTATAACTGTGACATTCCTGGTTACAACTTTGTTCATTCTTCACATTTAAACAAAGTAGGTGGCGGTGTTGGCATTTATGTGGCAAGCGAATTAGAATTAAGAATGCATGATGATCTTTCTCTTAAAGGTGAAAATTGTGCGAAATCTCTGTTCATTGAAATTCATAGACCTAATGAAAAAAATATTCTAATTGGGACCTTATACCATCCTCCTGACCAGTGTGCAGGATTTTGTTGGCAGCATAGATCAGCTTATTACCAAAATCTCTAGAGAAAATAAGAACTGTTACCTAATGGGTGACTTTAATTTGATTCTCACGCAACTATTAACGGTGCATTCTCAGATGTGTTGTTTTCCAGGTCGTTTGTTCCACTGATAACAAGGCCAACTAGACTCACCTCGCACACCGCCACTCTAACCGATATTAGTAAAATCCAACTGATGGTCTATCATCAATGCTGCGTTCTGATTGGTTGAGCTGCTACTAGGCTATATGTTATAGCCCACTAGTAGCGAAAAGCACGGGCTTTTTGGCGGCAAAAAAGGATTAAAGTCTAGCTTTAACTAGCTAACAGTTTTTTATTCTCGATATTTTTTACCAACTGGGTGGATTTTACTAAAACAATAATTCCTCTTGCCCTAATGGCCTCTGAGTCAATAGCCCATGAGGCTGAAGGCCGAATGGACTATAGACTCAGCCCCCATTTGGGCTCGAATAATTGTTAAATATTTGTACAAATAATTTTGATGACATTGCTAAGTCTGGTCTCCTAGTAACAGACATTTCTGATCATCTCCCTGTGTTTTCATTAGTTCATTCAGCACAATCTAAAATTTTACCCAATTTGTCAATAGATCTGGTACCAAGAAATAAACCCTCACAACACTTCTGAATTTAAAGATTGAACAACATCAACTGGTCAGAACTACCCAGTTTTAATGATCCTCTTCAAGCTTATGTAAGATTCGTGGAGAAGTTTACTACTTGGTCTAACAGATGTTTCCCATTAAAAAGAAAAGGGCACGATGTCAAGTTATTACGAAACCTTGGATAGCTGCAGGCCTTCTGAAATCTATAAACTAGAAAAAACATATTGCATAAGCAGTTTCTTAAAATCCAACTCAGGAACGTGAACAGCTCTGATCCATAAGAAGTATAAAAACAAATTGAATCATTCATTAAGAATCTCACAACGTTTATACTACGAAAAGAAATTAAATAATTATAAATCCAATGCTAAAGGCATATGGAGAATACTCAATGAGGTACTTAATCGAAGGACAAACTCTTCAGATCTTCCTTCTTCGTTTATTATCGGAAATGTTGCGTGCTTGACGCTCCAACTGAAATTGCTAACAAATTAAAGTAGTATTTCCTACTTTATCGTGCATATTCCATCTCGTTTAATTTGTCAAATTTTGGCAATGTTTTTTTAAATCAAATTCTTAAGGACTGTATCAAAGTTCAAGAAAAGAAAAAGAAAGTTCCAGTCTAATGACATAGCGCGCGTCACTAACCTGAGCTGGTAAAAAAGCCGGGCAGTAAATATAGCTTAGCTTAAGCTGGGCGGTAAATATAGTAATTGTATATCGCTGGAACAAGCACTGCTTTTCACTGGGAAAGGCCCTCCCCTCTTTGATGCCAACAGTATAACTAAGGTAACCACAAGTCCAAAGATATAAAAACAAGCATTTTTCTTTATTTACAAATATATTTACAGTTCTGAATGTCTCACGAACGTCACTTAACATACAAACGTCCTTTTTGCAAAACGTTAAATATCCCCAGTAGTCTGGTGATTGCTACCATTTTTGTAATCTTCCGCAAAAATTAGCCTTCCTCTTTCTAGGTTGTTTTGGTTGCCATGGTTTCGGTTGAGCTGCTCTTTCACGTGCAAGTTCTTCTTGACGTAATCGTTCACGTTCCTCCTCCAACTTACGTTGCTGATTTTCACGATACAATCTGTAAGATTTAAAAACAAACCACTTTCATTAGAGCATAACTGTCTTGGTCTAACAAGAGCGAAATATAGCCCCTTTCTACTCTCTTGGTATAGTCAATTACGCTCAAAGGAGTGTCCATCAGGGCTGGAATTGAATGGGTGTTTCTTGATGTCGCGGAAGTTTTTGTTGGTTAGTAGTTTCAGTTATGGTGTGTCAAGAAGTGTGGGCATTGTTGATTGTATTCGAGCCCTGTTTTAGTTTCTAGTTTGGAGATTACGTATCACATATATGCAACTGCACAAAGAGAGTGCAGACATAAATGTTTAGAAAACCCAACTAACGGACCAGAGGCCAAACACTAAATGCCGTGCTTGAACCGCCGGAAACAATGGCGGCCTTCACTTACTGTCCTCAGTGGCAACCACTTCTTGCACAATAACCTAGTGTTATACCGGCCATAAAAAGGCAGTGTTGGGCCATTGTCACAGTCTACATGGACTTACGTAAGAAATTTACCTTATTGCTATTGGGCACTGAATTTTTCATTGCGGCATTTTGCGAACAAAAGCTTCATAGTTACAAACAAATTCATACACAGAAAGTCTCAAACAACCATGGCTCGTAGCCTTTAGTTTCATAAAGCTTCCATTTAATTGGCTATAGTGTGACCTTTACTAAAGGGAAAAGTAGAAATTGGTGTGGTATTATAGATGTGAATTAAAGCTTAGCCAGCAACTGTGCGGCAAACAGTGAAACTCATGATGTGTTCTCTTACCTCCATTCTCGAATTAACATTCGAATCAACCGGGAGATGATATTAAAAATGTAGGGAACGGCGAGGTACAAAGCCGTGAAGCAATAATCAGTCACCAAGATAGTGGTCATCACATCAAACGTGTCCTGCCAGGTCCAGTTTAACATTGTGGTTACAACTCTTGTCAAATACACTAGAAAGAGGTTGAGCGATAGTAAGAAATTTTTATTAAACATGCGCAATCAATAAAACATAAACACAGTACAGACGAACAACAGGTTTAAAAAATTAATTTACAAACTGTGTGGTCTGTTCAATTCCTTCTCTTCCCACAGTAACTCCGTGAGTTGCAGAAGTTAATTTTATCGAGAAAAGTCAAGAAACACATTGCGAGAATCAAACCTTTTTATCTCCGATAATAATTTTGATTATCGCATTGTTAATTTTTTTTCGTGTTAAGCATCGTATCGTTTTCTCAAAGAATGTTTCCACTCTTAAATAACAACTGTCAGAAGTATCTTATTCTAAAGTATGAACGAAAGCGTCGTGATTAAGCAGCAAACAAACAAATACACAAACAAAACAACGATTGACCAGTCACTTTCAAACTGTTAGTTTCGTCTTGCAAAGCGATCGATCAATACATTATTTCACTCTGTTCAAAAAAGAAATATGCTGGGAGAGGTTCATGTAATCAATGTTTTTAGAACAAGGAGCCGAAAAGTGATCGTAGATTGTTAGCTGTAAAGGAGAGTGCATCAAAGTACTTACAATTTGTGAGATTGCAAGCCTTTTTCTGAGTTTCATTTGACCTGATCCAGCGCATGGATGCCACGCCCTTGTTCCACAGCTTTGTAGTAAACCACAGTGATTCAGCTAAGCGTCTGTCAGCTTTCGTTGTGCAAAACGACGTTTCCTAAGTAAAAAAGGAAGATATATTCGATTCACGAATAAACTAGAACCTTAAATAGATTATTCCTTGAGTGTATATTACTTTGAGTAAAATGCGTCGTAACGTTGAACAATCTTGGCCGAGTCGCCCCAGGTTAGTCCTCATCCCGAGTTCACTGTAAAACAGGGCAAAGATCGGAGTTGCAATTGGAATTATTACAAAATTTAAAATTGTCTTGACCAGAATGTCTAATTTAACATTGCAAATCTCGATATGACGGTGAAAAGCTGC